CGACCAGCAGTAACAGCCTCGTTGATCAGGCCCTGATCCACCGGGAAGCCTGGTCGTGGACCGGGCCGCGGGGGCGTTGACCCCCGGAATGCCCTCCAGGTAGACTCCAGATAAGGGTACACAAACGTACCTTTATTATTAAATATTATAATTATTATATTCATAGTAAAGGGTAAATCCGTAAGGGTCTTGAGTATTATAAATTTCGAAAATACTGGCATAAAGCGAGATGTTTTTCATTAAAATATTTTTAAAACCAAAACTGATCACTTTTATGCTAATTAGTTTCACTTTCTGGGGCCAAGTATAACTGGTGCATGGAGTGAAGAAACTTGAGTATTTACACTAGTGGAATATAAGAGTCGCCTTCTCCCATGTGATTAACTCCCTTTCTTAATGCTTCTAATAAAAATATTTTACAAGCGGCTTGAAGATGTTAGTAAACATGTCGACGACAGAGGTAAAGTGAGACCCTCTTGGCATCCTCACCTCACAAGAAGGAGTGAGACTCTCCTGGCACCCTCACCTCGCTCGAGGGAGGAGTGTGGAAAGGTGGAGTGAAACTCTTCTTGCATCCTTGCCTCACATGAGGGCGATGTGGAGTGAGATTTCTTGCACCCTCAGACGAGAGAGGAGTGAGAAATGGAGACTCTCCTGGCACCTCTTACATCATAAGCAGTGAGAGAAGATCTCAATGGCAGTCCTTTACCTCACACGAAGGAGAAGAGGAGTGAGACTCACGAAGAGAGGTATGATCGCCTTACAAGAGAGAGGGATGAGGGAGAGGTTTAGTGGGACTCACGAGGACGAGGCGAAATCTTCCTGGCATGCTCACCTCTCACCACTGCCAACAGCCCTCCATAGCTAGTGTGTGTGTGTGTATGCGTGCGCGCGCTCACCTATATGTGGTTGCAAGGGGTCGATTCACAGTTCCTGGTCCCGCCTCTTCGCAGACAGTTACTAGATCCGTTCTTTCCACGCTTCAAGAGCCATATCGTACTTCTTAAACCGGTGTATGGATCCCGCCTCTACTAATTCACACTCCAGATTGTTTCACTTACTGACAACTCTAAGGCTGAAGAAATACTTCCTAACATCCTTATGACTCGGCTGAGTTTTCAACTTCCAGTTGTGACTTCTTCCTGTATCCCATCTCTGGAACATTCTGTCCCTGTTCAACTTTTCAATTCCTCGCAGTATTTTGTACGTCTTTATTATATCCCCCCCTATAGTCTTTCTGTCCTCCAGTATCATCAGGTTGAGTTCCCTGAATAGGGAACATACTTGTTCCCATTGTATGTTTTTGTTATTAAAGTTGAATTATGTGAAGGCACCCTCATGAGTGATCACATTTTGCTGGTCAGGAACCCTGTGCATACATGTCTACCTCTTATGTTATGATCTGAGTGTATTGTCTTTGATAGGGTTATATTATGTATCAGATCGTCGTTGTTCGTGAAGATGAGGTCCAGTGTATTTTCTAGTCTTGTAGGCTCTAATATTTGCTGGTTTAAAGTGAATTTGGTGCAGCGATTTAATAGCTCGTGTGTGTGTATGAATTTTCATCTGAACTGCCTCCTGGGGTGATCTCTGCTAAAATATTATTTGGTACACTCCTCCATTTTAGGTGTCTTAAGTTGAAATCTCCCGGTAGCAAGATGTTTGGGGCAGGAGTTGGGAGATTTTCCAGACTGGTCAGTTTTCAAAATCTGTTCCTGGAACTGCTGTAGGTTGCATCCGGAGGCTTGTATACAACCACAATGACAAGGATTTGGTTTTCAATCTTTACTGCCAAAACTTCAACTACATAATTTGAGGTGTTAGTTCTGAGCAAATGAGCGACTCTGTGACGTACAAGCCAACCTCCCCTTGTTGCCTGTTTAGTCTGTCGCATCTGAATAGGTTATAACCTGACCTGGGATCCATATTTCATTGTCAGAATTATCCTTTATGTGGGTCTCTGAAAGCTGCAAACACTGCATTCGACACCGTGAGCAGTCCCTTGATGTAGGGAATTTTGTTGTTTGTTGACAGCTTTAGACCCTGTATGTTTGCAAAGATAAATGTCGTTATATTGATGGAATTTAGGGGAGGTTTTATTTGCTGGCTTTAATATCTGTTGTTCTGGAATGGAGGCCAATGACTGTGCCTCTGCTCCTGAAGTGTCATTTTGATGTCAGTCTTTTTTCCTTCCTGGCACTAAAAAACCTCCTCTGGAGAGGTTATGGCTCCTCTTTAGTTTCCCATAGTCCGGCTCGTCTGTGTCTTGTCCCCTTTAGATGATGTGCCTGGCAGTGTACGTTGTAGCATTTTATTTTATGGAGTGACTAGTGACACATTTCCGGGTGAAATTTTAATTAAAGGAAGGGGAGTTAGCACCCTCCTGTCGTCATGTGGGTGCGGAATTTTTTGAGATGGTCAAAGACGTATGTGACACCTGTTTTACCAGATATACCATGCCTGCAGATACCCAAGGCATAGAATTTGTATAGATTGGAATTTTGTTTGCAAAGATTTGTTGTGGCTGCATTCCATGCTGGTGCATTTTTTGTTTCCCCACTACCTACCGCCCCTGTATGGACATTGTGCATAATAGCGCACAAAATGCATGCTAAAGGAATAACAGGAAAAGTTTGGTAGATGGATCTATAATTTCTTCACAAACAGAACACAAAGAGTAGTAGTCAACAGAGTAAAGTCTGAGGCAGCTACAGTGAAAAGCTCTGTTCCACAAGGCACAGTACTCGCTCCCATCTTGTTTCTCATCCTCATATCTGACACAGACAAGGATGTCAGCCACAGCACCGTGTCTTCCTTTGCAGATGACACCCGAATCTGCATGACAGTGTCTTCCATTGCAGACACTGCAAGGCTCCAGGCGGACATCAACCAAATCTTTCAGTGGGCTGCAGAAAACAATATGAAGTTCAACGATGAGAAATTTCAATTACTCTGATATGGTAAACATGAGGAAATTAAAACTTCATCAGAGTACAAAACAAATTCCGGCCACAAAATAGAGCGAAAAACCAACGTCAAAGACCTGGGAGTGATCATGTCGGAGGATCTCACCTTCAAGGACCATAACATTGTATCAACCGCATCTGCTAGAAAAATGACAGGATGGATAATGAGAACCTTCAAAACTAGGGATACCAAGCACATGATGACACTCTTCAGGTCGCTTGTTCTATCTAGGCTGGAATATTGCTGCACACTAACAGCACCTTTCAAGGCAGGTGAAATTGCTGACCTAGAAAATGTAGAGAACCTTCACGACGCGCATAACGGAGATAAAACACCTCAATTACTGGGAACGCTTGAATTTACTGAACCTGTACTCCCTGGAACGCAGGCGGGAGAGATACATGATTATATACACCTGGAAAATCCTAGAGGGACTAGTACCGAACTTGCACACGAAAATCACTCACAACGAAAGAAAAGACTTGGCAGACGATGCAACATCCCCCCAATGAAAAGCAGGGGTGTCACTAGCACGTTAAGAGACAATACAATAAGTGTCAGGGGCCCAAGACTGTTCAACTGCCTCCCAGCATACATAAGGGGGATTACCATTAGACCCCTGGCAGTCTTCAAGCTGGCACTGGACAGGCACCCAAAGTCGGTACCTGACCAGCCGGGCTGTGGCTCGTCGTGATGCGTCACCACATAACACCTGGTTGATCAGGCTCTGATCCACCAGGAGGCCTGGTCACAGACCAGGCCGCGGGGGCGTTGACCCCCGGAACTCTCTCCAGGTAAACTCCAGGTACTCCACCAGTTTTTACTGGTAATGTGTCAACACTATTCCCCTGAGGCATCATCCCTTTTTGTTTCATCTCCAGCCTAGACTCGAGAGCCTGGATTATTATTATAATCAAGGGGGAAGCGCTAAACCCGGAGGATTATACAGTCGAGAGCCTGGAGATCCGAACGTTTCGCCCACCCTTGCCCACCCCTGCATTGTATAGAGAATAAATTTTATAGAGAATAAACTTTGATTTGATTTGATTCTCTCTCAGGCTTCAAAAATCAAATATAATTGATCCGAAGATTTATTATAATCATGGCTAAGTACTAATGCCACAAATCATATGGCATCTGGGGACTGGGAGGTAATTCAGATTGATTGATCTGAGGAAGGAAAGGGTAGATCCAATTTCTTGGATTAGAAGTTTTTTAACAGAATCAAGGTACACGCCTAGAAGACAACCTAAGATGCAGGACAAAATATACCATGTTTGTTGAAGACTCATAAAAATGCGTATTCAATCTAAATAAAAATATATCAAGCTTTTATTGCCAAATTAGAAATCAACTTTGGCAGTCGATTATAGATTAAGAGGTGAGACCAGGAGCTGGAGCTTTACTTCAACAGACAAAATTTATCCATAGACAAATTAAAATTTTAAAAGGTTGCAACTACTGATAATAATTATTATCAAAACTTAGCGCTAAACCATCAGGGTCATACAGCGCTGTACTGATAATAAGAGCCACCAGGTAAGTAAATTTTGTTAGCAACTCAGGGACTGCACAACAGTGGAAGAACAGGAATATGTATTTAGTATCTGAGTGAAATGAAATATTTATGGAGTAATTTTTTTGGTTGCTTTGCCCACTAATTCTTGTTCTAACCTTGTAAAATATATAGATGATTTGGGTAATGATTTGGTGATGAGGGATGATGTTCAGTTCCATTGAACCCCAATGAAAATAAGTCACTTTGACTTTTTTTGGGGGTATCCTAGGTAATTTACACTATGTATGATAATTGTATTTATGTGTGCCTGTGCCTAAATAAACTTACAAGAAGGACGTTATGCTTGGCTGTCTTGACTTCCAATGCTACATACTGCCTCCACCACTAAGAACTCCAATGTAGAACACATTCACTACATACACCATGAATCATACTACACACATTATGAACCACGCTAGATATATGTTAGGACTACTTGATCAACATTATTTGACATTTGCCCATCTCTCCTCAGGGTGTAACTTCATAAAGGTGGCCAAGGACAACGCTGACAGGCTGGGAATCACAGGATGGATAAAAAATAACAAAACTGGTACTGTTGGTGGCCGCCTCCAAGGACCCAAATCCCACGTCGATCAAATGTAAGTTTAAAAAACTGCAGAGTAAATGATAATAATTATATCATTAGTCAGCATCATCATTATCACATCTATTATTTTCCATCAAGGTAAAATTGCCTGTAGAAATTACAGGGTCTATTAGGTTACCTGATTTGATCAAGAAGGGTCCCGGATCTGAGGAACTGGAGCTATCCTCCCATTCCTTAGGTCAAACCTAGTTACCTCCCATTCTCCAAGCACTGTATGACCCCTATGGATAGAAACAACTTTAAAAGTAAGTCATTCATTCATTTTTCATTAAAATAAAAATGAAAATAGTATGTAACAGTACTGCATAAGATTTTTTTCTTCTGAAAAAGTTTCTGCAACTATAGTAGTTCTCAAAAGCATATATACTAAATTACTTCTGCCCCTATAATTTGTATTTTGGATGGATTTTTTTTTTTCACAAATTTGATATCAGAATAGTAGCGATATTTGTAGACATACATTGTCAGTGTTCCCGTGAATTCATCATTAATTTCTGTTATAGCCATAAAATATCTCTAGGTGTGTTGTTACAGGGTGAAGTGGTTGAGTGAGGAAGGTTCTCCAGGCTGCCACATTGAACGTTGTCAACTTAGCAACCAACAAGCAATTATCCGTCCTGACTACCCAAAGTTCAGCCTCAAATTCTAAATTTTTAAAGAGAAGTTTCGAGCAGCACAATCTTCAATGTATTTTATCTATAAATATTATTTAAAGTAGCCATTTACATAATTATTATTATATTTGCAAATGTGCTAAATTTGTTATATTACTTATAATAATAGTGTACCATCTACCTGTAGGGTTGTTTCCATTCATTGGATACTATAGCTAGCATAACATGTTTTAGTTCCATTAAATGACATTGCAAATCTTGAATAATGAAGGACATTAGTAAAGGTATCTGCTTTTCCCATGTTCAAACATGATGTAGGAGACAGTTATATTGATTGTGGATTTAGATCAATTTGTAATTGATAATGCATTACATATTGGAATTATTTTATAATCTACATTGGATTGAATATTCAAAAATTCCATTACAAAAACATTACTTTTACCTGATGGGCATGAAATACATGGAATAAGGCATATAATGCTGTTAAGCATATTATTCAAGTAAATCGAATGGAAAGCACCATGACGATACACAGTAAAGAATACAGCATAAATAAAGAAAAAGGCTAATTTTAATCACCAATATAAACATGGCAGTTTTGACGTGGCATTCCTTGCAGTGTTAATTTTCCATTACTTTGTCAGAAAAATTAAAATGCGTCCAAATGCTGCATAAAAGACAGCAACCAGTAATAAAATTATTAGTTATCACATACAGTAATAATACAGATGTATATGACAGTAAATAGACTGCTCACCAACCATAACTTTTGTAGAACATCCATTCTTGTATGTCCCCATCACCAGTATGAACTGCCATGAATTTTTCTTATCATAAAATCCATGGCTTTAATTTGGATTACAATACAAAGATAATACAGTATCTGTACTTCACATTTTACTATAGTTTCTTCATTTAAGTTGACTCACTTTTCACCATCACAAATTTTCAAGTAGTGTATGTATATGGAAATTTGTGATTGACTTCACATCTTCCTGGGTAACATTTGTGTTCATTTTATCATTTATTGTCTTATCATTACAGTACTAGGCCAGTTAGTATGCATTAGTAGATCATTAGGGTTGGATTACAAAGCTTCATACAAGAATGAGCAAATATATATTGTAATAAATTTGTAGCTTATGCACAGCTGCTATTAATACTGATTTATTTAATAATATTTAAAGACGTTTTGTAGTAGCAGGTTTATCACAGGTATTTAAGTCAACGCGGTTTTTCACTAAATCTTGTGTAGTATTTTGTAATGTAATATCTTACTTGCCTTCCATATTGTTTTTCCTTCAACACTTTTCACTTCTACAAATTAAAGTGCTCTGAGCCATCAATTAGTTAACTTCCAGGAAGGTATTTCTTTAACCCTTTCAGGGTCAAGACCCTTGATCCTTAAAATGGTAAGAGAATAGAGGTTTCCATTATAATGAGGACTGGAAAGTCACTAATAATAAAAGTGAAAGGATGATTAATAACACTGAAGCTAAACACATTTCAAATGAACCTATTTATACACTATTCACAAAAAATATACTAACAATAAAATCTAAATTAATCACAGAGGACATGAGATCTTCAGTGGAATCAAACTATGCTGTCATGAGCAATATGAAAATCTATTAACAAACCTCTATGATTTATATTTTATTTAATGGAAGAGCATTACACTCAGGGGCAAAAGAGTTCCTGGGGAATGGTAGGTAATGTCTTGATTCAAGGAAGAGGAGGGTATCTCCAGTTCTTTAGATTAAAGGACTTTAACCAGCATTAAGGCACTCTTCTTGAATGGTAATAAACCCTTATCACATTTAGTGGGAAGTGCTAAACCCATAGGGGTCAAACAGTGCTGGAAGAGTAGGAGGCAATCAGATTTAATCCAAGGAAAGGGAGGGGTAGTTCCAATTCTTTGGATCAAGTCCTTCACCAGCATCAAGGCACCTCCCTCAAAGGAAATATACCCTTAGAATTAATAAATAAGTTCATTATTATTATAACTAATTTAAGGGCTAATCCCAAAGGATTATACGATGTTAGTACCTATTTGATCCTGCTTCAACACTTCCTACCTACTTTAGCTACTTACACCATCATAAACACATAACCCATGTCATTGTTGCCTCTTATTTTATAAAACCACAGGTACTACTGTATATATGAAGCAGATAATAATAGCTTTAATTCCATGTTTTCCAAGGTGATATTAGTAGTCAACTGTGATGGTGTTTGTAAAACAAGTTTTTCTTTGTTAAATATTTATTTTTGGTTTATAAAATAAAGATTTCACCTCAATTGTTTTTTAAACACTAATTTATTCTATTGTACCTATTTCTACAGTAACCATATTTTTTATTAAGCATCACGCTCATTGCTACCAAAATTAGGAATCCCTCTTGCAAATTATTATTATAATAAAAAGAAGTGCTAAACCCACTGGGTTCCCTCTTGCAAAGTTAGTTCACTATAACTAGGGGAAAGGTTTATGAAATTGGCATGTTCATGTACATTCCTGATTTTGGTTTCCTAGCAATGACCTCATGCACTGATTACACTTCTGGTTTTCTTCACTTTTCTTTCTCACTGTAACTTCACAATGATCCAGGATGGACCAAATTGTCATCTAGTTACTATAACCAACTTGAAAACTATTCCAATGGGTAATGGCTGAACCTTCCCTCTTGAAGCATTGCGATAAACAGCAAACACATACATGCAGCACTTACCATAACTGTTTCACTTTCGGGATATTTTAGCCAGTACAATTCAAGGTATCCAAGGTTAGAAAAATATATACAAATATATACCTAAATGAGATTATTATTATTACTGCAAAGTGCTAAATCTGCAGGGTTATACAGCTTAAATGAGAATAATCGAGTTTCAAAAGGATCTGCTTAGCTTGAGCCAGTAGGCCTACTAGTGATCCTCTTTATTTATCATGGGGGAAGTGCTAAACCAAATCCATGTGTCATATAGTACCTGGGAAATAGAAGGCATTTAGTTTCAATCTAAGAAAGGGGAAGATATGTTTAGTTCCTTGGATCAAGAGCATTCACTAGCATCAAAGAGTTAGTGCTTCATAAGTTTATTTATAGGTACCTATAGAGGCTATAAACACACCACACAAAGTGATTGATCTTTCTTAGAATAAACAAAATTAATGTCTTGACAAAGCATTTATAAAGGAACCTTTAAGAGAAATATTGGATGCATAGTGGTAATGAATACAGCACCTGTATTAAGAATAGTTGGCAAATACTTATTAAAATGTTATCTGTTAGTGGTTCTGGGAATTATCTTTCCCATGGGCCTCATAAGTTGGAAAGTAAATACCACAAGACTAACAACTATTAAGAAGCATACAGGAAACTAAAGGTATGTGTAAAGTTTGTAAGATATATTGTAAGATTTACTTTTCATCTTATGCAATTCTGCCAGTGAAAAACAATTAACAGATTTCCATTTTACATGTCACACAAAATATGTGTACTGTATTTATGAGCTATGTGATTTCAGCACAAAAAAATAAAGCATAACCAAAAGTCTAACCTTCATCATGCTTACTATTCTGCTCTTAAAACTACAAAACTATTAATCGTACTCTGTCCTCCAAACTGTTTTGAGCAGACACTTTCATCATTTCATAAAATAAAGAAATTATACGCAATGTCTTGTTCATTTTTTTTTTTCAACAAATCGGCCGTCTCCCACCTAGGCAGGGTAACCCAAAAAGAAAAGAAAACCCCCAAAACAAAAATACTTTCATCATCATTCAACACTTTCACCTCACTCATACATAATCACTGTTTTTGCAGAGGTGCCCAGATACAACAGTTTAGAAGCATATATAAAGATACAATATAAAAAGTGACCTGAAATAATATAATAAACTCCATATAGAATATAATATCAGGGCCCCAATTATATATATACCATCCTATTACACCTCCCTCCAAACTGCCAATATCCCAAACCCCTCCTTTATTAAAGTGCAGGCATTGTACTTCCCATTTCCAGAACTGTAACCAGTTTCCCTGAATCCCTTCACATGCTTAATAATTTATACAGAGTATGCTAAACCAGTCTACAGCACCTAGTTTTCATTAAAAAAAATCAATGGTTACTTTAAATTTGAAACTAAGCCTTTCTTCTGAGACTTACTATAAAGCAACATTGCACAGCCTAATCTGATTGTTAACTATCCCCATGATCACTGATCCCCATTTCCATTACCAGTGGCCTTGATTACAACTTTGAGCAATTTATGGACATGTATATCAGGTGTGTGTTTGTTCTCAAACGTCTGTAAAAAGTTTATAACGTACCCTATTATGCAAAAAGAGCTATTTTTTGCTATATCTTTCTGATGCCTGGATCAACCACACAAATAAAGCACACAATCATGGCTGCTTCTGCCTCAGATTCTACTGACCCCTGATGATAATTACATTATATGTAAAACAAGTACTACACCCATATGGGTCATTCAGTGCTGACCAGTGATGAGTCACAACCAAAATTATCAAAACCAGTTAAGTGAAAGGAATGCATAGAGGAATTCAGCAGCAATGACATACTCTTGGGACAACTGCTTGCCAACATTTAAACAACATTCTAAAAAACACGAAAATTTGAGAAGATAAAATTGCTATATGTTGATTCAGCTTGAAATGTATTTGGCAACCTTCATGCTTGATGTGAAAATAAGAAAATTGTAGGCTGTACATGCCATTTATATTTATACCATATCTATAACTACCAGTTGTTTAATTATATGAATGAACATCCCCCCAATGAAAAGCAGGGGTGTCACTAGCACGTTAAGAGACAATACAATAAGTGTCAGGGGCCCAAGACTGTTCAACTGCCTCCCAGCATACATAAGGGGGATTACCAATAGACCCCTGGCTGTCTTCAAGCAGGCACTGGGCAAACACCTAAAGTCGGTACCTGACCAGCCGGGCTGTGGCTCGTACGTTGGATTGCGTGCAGCCAGCAGTAACAGCCTGGTTGATCCGGTGCTGATCCACCAGGAGGCCTGGTCACAGACTGGGCGGCGGGGGCGTTGACCCCCGGAACTCTCTCCAGGTAATTACAGTTCTAGCTACAGTAAAATCTGCATCTATAATGTATCCCTGTTTATCAGATACGTGAACAGTGACCATATACGTACTTTGCTATGCAACAGCTACTGAACTGCTGGAAATATAGAAAAGACTGGTGTAGGGGTAGGGGTCATCCTAGGAAAGGTTGGAGGGACAGGGTAAAGGAGGTTTTGTGGGCAAGGGGCTTGGACTTCCAACAAGCATGTGTGAGTGTGCTAGATAGGAGTGAATGGAGACGAATGGTTTTTGGGACCTGACGAGCTGTTGGAGTGTGAGCAGGGATAATATTTTGTGAAGGGATTCAGGTAAACTGGTTAACCAGACTTGAGTCCTGGAGATGGGAAGTACAATGCCTGCACTTTAAAGGAGGGGTTTGGGATATTGGCTATTTGGAGTGACATCTAAACTGCTGTATCTGTGTGCCTCTGCAAAGACAGTGATTATGTATGAATGATGGTGAAAGTGTTGAATGATGATGAAAGTTTTTTTCTTTCTTTTTAGGTCACCCTGCCTTGGTGGGAAATAACCAACGTGTTAAAAAAATATATAGTATTCCTAAAAAATCAAATGGATGTAGGAAATGCATTAAGCATAATTGGCATTTATGCATAAAAGAACATTATATTTACCTACTGCTGACTCTTAGTCAAGTAGCAAGCTATTGCATTAAATATCATTTTATCTAAATCTAGATTCTTCAGCCTGCAAACCCTGGAATACCAATTCCATTATAGTACACATTTATATTACAAATACATGCCCAATATGCTATAATATGGGCTTTACCAACAAACTACTCATGTACTGCATTTTAGAAAAAAAAAATCAGATTTTAATGCAGTGAACTAACAATAAAACTAGGATTAGTTTTCTGGTCTCTGATGATCATGTAAAAGCTTAGTTTATATAGCAATAAATATACTATTCACAGTCCTCTCAATCCAGCCTCTGAGCAAAATATACTGTATTGTTATACAGTACTTAAAATAAGTGCTGAACCAGTCAAAATAATTATAAATAGTACCCAGTAGTCAAAAAATACATACTTGTATACAAGAACATACAGTAGTCCTATATAAACATACAATCTTTAAAAGCAAGATGGAAACCTTCTTGGCTTGATGGAACAAGCTGACCAGAGATCTAACCCTCTCTGTATTCAATATTAGAGCTATATCATAATATACATCTCAATACATACCTGTGGTCATCTTTTGATATAAAATACACAATCCTTTTCTTGCCAAATGTGTAAATTTACTACGAATAACTCAAATAATTTCATGTAAAAATAAACCAGCAAACATCTCATGATCAAATTTATTAAAAATTACAGAAAATAAATTGCTTTTAAACAGGAATTATTAAATAAAAAAAAAATTATGTATATATTAAAAACAAAAAGTTCTTTTCATATTCTCTTTAAACTAATTCAAATAGTTTGCATTCTTTGGTAAAAAAAAAAAGCAAAACATGAACTCCCGTATAATTCAAATACTGTTTAGTATAATAATTAACATATCAGGCCCCTCAGACGAAACAATATAGTTATTAATTGTGTCTGATTTGGAGGAACTGTAAGTGTGATCATCAACAGCCTGACTGATCAGAGACAGGGCCGTGATAAGCAGAGAACCAATCTCTCCCCAACTGTGCTGAATGATCCACACAGGTAGTTATTTAAAATATAATGCAACACAGTTGGAAATACTGTAACCTTCTGAAGAGAGTAATGTTCCACACAGCATGAAATGAGGGATACCTGTATTTTCACAACTGTTGTAACAATGGGTTAGTTTTAATTACCTATTAATATTAAATATGAAACACATACTACTGACTTGTACTTAATGTTAAAAAGAAAAAGTACATGTATGTTATATATCTGAAGTCTAAAGTAATTTACTTCACAGAGGACACAACTGATATGAAATTCTGCCTGTCGTTAAGTAAAAGTCTTTTATTTTAGACTTAAGAGTGTTTTGAGATTCATTTAAAGTGATCATACATTCAATATTGTATTTCTTTAATAGTCTAACTTGTGTAGTTATACACAATCATACTACAAATTACTTCAGTGCACTGATACATCTGTGATACTGAACCACTTCTGGTCAGAGCACATAAATTTTATATACATACATAGTTATAAAAGAAGTATACTGTATTTAATATTTTTTTCTTATGATTTTCATGATAGCAATAATCATACATTGCAAGAGATCAAACTAGAGAATACCCAGAAATTTAAATGCATGAAATGTGAAACCAGCATAACATTTAGAATACATACTAGTTCTAACTACAATAATGCAAAGTAAAGAAGATTTGCAAGTACAGTACCTAGTAACCTATTCCACTAGAATATTAGACTCAATCTGCCAGCAGACTCATTTTTAACTATAACAAAAAATCTCCTTAGTTTTTTCTCTCTGCTAAATCTTTTTCTTTTGCATGTGATGTAATGTATGTATGTGAGTGTAATATGTATGTATGCAAAACAACCACTGTGAAAGAATAGAGAAGTTCCAAGCACTTTTGTGACTACTCACATTATCAAGGAACAATGAAAGTAAAGCATCAAAGGAAGGTATATAAAGAGGTAGCCCACACCTCACTATCAGATCCCACAACAACGAAACACCTGACGCGAGACAGCAGGCCCGCCGGCCGAACTAGACAGGTCCTTAATAAAACCCACCAACAAACTATTCTACCCAAGAAATAAGAAATTTAAAAAATTATTATTTGTCCAATGTATTATTAAATTCTTCCCAAATTCTATTAATTATAAATGGATCTAATTTATATAAACCAAAGGAAATATTCATATTATTGTCAAAACTGCTTTTTATGAAACAAGATTCAATTATATTCCTGTCGACCATGGACTTACTTGATACTACTTTCTCAACTTTTTGAAAATCAATTGGATGGTTAAAATCTCTTACATGAATAAATAGAGCATTGGAATCTTGTCCAGTTCTAATGCTATATTTATGTTCTTTTAATCTTAGTTCGAGATTTTTACCAGTTTGACCGTAATAAACTTTATCGCAAATTTTACAAGGAATCTTATAGACACATCCATCAGCATTTTGGGGGGAATTCTTTATCAAAAGTTTTTTTACCGTATCGAGATTTTTTAATACAACTTTAATATTAAAAGTCTTAAGAAGAGAAGGCATATCAACCAAGTTTTCATGGTAAGGAAGAACCAACATATTTTTAGTTGAATAAGGCTGGTTATCCCTTTTTGGATTGTAAAAAGTATTTCTAGCAACTTTAAAAGATTTATCAATTACATTTCTATTCTTTCACAGTGGTTGTTTTGCATATTCTGAAATCACCTGTTTACTGTGATCTTATTGCATATGTATGTATGTATAAGTTTGAGTATGTATGTATATCTGGTAGGTAGTAGATTGGTAGACAGCAGCCACCCAGGGAGGTACTACCGTCCTGCCAAGGGGGTAAAATGGAAGCCTGTAATTCTTTTACATGATGGTAGGATTGCTGGTGTCTTTTTTCTGCCTCATAAACATGCAAGATTTCAGGTATGTCTTCCTACTTCTACTTACACTTAGGTTACACTACACTTGCATGTACAAGCATATATATACACATCCTTCTGGGTTTTCTTCTAATTTTCTTACTAGTTCTTGTTCTTGTTTATTCCCTCTTATCTCCATGGGGAAGTGGAACGGAATTCTTCCTCCATAAGCCATGTGTCATAAGAGGCAATTAATATGCCAGAGCAAGGGGCTAGTAACCCCTTTTTCTGTATACATTACTAAAGTTAAAAAGAGAAACTTTTTTTTTTTTTTTGGGCCACCCTGCTTTGGTGGGATGCAGCCGGTTTGTTGAAAGAAGATGTATGTATGTATGTTATGCTGGAGGGAGACGGGGAGGAAAGGTGGTTTTTGTGTGTAAGGGGCTTCGACATCCAGCAGGCATGTGTAAGCATGTGTGAGCATGAGTGGAGGCAAATGATTTTCAGGATTTGACTAGCTGTTGGAGGGTAACATTTTGTGAAGGGATTCAGGGAAACCAGTTAGCTGGACTTGAGTCCTGGAGGTGGAAAATACAGTGCAAGACAGTGATAGAGTGAATGAGTGAAAATGTCTTTTTTAGGTCATCCTATCTCAGTGGGAGACAGCCAGTATGTTTAAAAAAATATATATTTTTATTAATTTATTTTTAACATACTGGCCATCTCCCACCAAGATAGGGTGGCCCAAAAAAGAAGAAACACTTGCACTATCACTATCTTGCCAGAGGTATGCTGATATTACAGTTCAAAACTGCAAATATCCCCACCCCCTCCTTCAGAATGCAGGTACTGTACTTCCATGAATCTCTTCATAAATATTACTTTGCTCACACTCCAACAGAATGTCAAGTCATAAAAATCACTTGCCTCCACTCATTCCTATCTACATATTTTTAACACACTGGCCATCTCTCACCGAGAAAGGGTGACCCAAGAGAAAAAAACGTTCACTATTTCACTATCACTCACTCCATCACTATCTTACCAGAGGCATGCCGATACTGCAGTTCAGATGCCCTTCCAAACTATAAATATACCCACCCCTTCCTCAGAGTGCAGGCACTTAGGAACTCAAGTCCAGATAACCGGTTTCCCTGAATCTCTTCATAAGTGTTACCTTGCTCACACTTCAACAGTATATCAAGTTGTAAAAACTATTTACCTCCACTCACTCCTATCTGTAATTTTAATTCTGTAGTAGTCATAATAACTGCCTCCATTTGCTCAAGGGCGGCAACTTCACAACCATTTATTGTGAAGTTGCCACCCTTGTTTAGCATTCCATACACTTAAAGAATAAATTATTAGAGAAGAATCTTTAACTGAGAATAATGGGCTACCCATAACAGATGCTGGATTACTATGAATATGCAATTACACACATCTAAGAGACAAAAATTGAGAGCTAGCACAATGCAGCAAAAGAATGCTTATCACAAGAAGTTTTATGAACAGCTCTTAAGTTTCAAAACTTTACAAGCTATATAAATACTATTAGACACTAGATATCACAGATAAATATCTTTTGAAAATTACCAATTGGTAATGGTTACACAATGTCATCTTGTAAAGCATCCTATGTGTATTTTGGAGAGTCTGTGAAGCATATGTTAGTTCAAATAAAAAACAATCACCATCAGAAATGGACTTTTCTAGAATTCAAAATGGGGTTATACACGTAGAATACCATATGCCATAAAAATGTTTGGCTAATATTGATCTCTAAAATATTCAAGTGCTACAAATTCAACTTGTACTTAAAACATTCAACTGTGTGCTATATGGCTCAATCTGTTATGATGCACCTGAATAGGAACCACTTTCTTGGACATGGATATAAAATTGCTTCAAAAGAAATTTCTTTAATAAATATAGTACAGCATATTGTGAAAGCAGGAAAGAAATAGAAAAACAATATAAGAATATCAATGAGAATAAATGATAAGCCAGGGTCTTTTACACATTCTCATACTCTGTTAATGTGTTAGACAAGTTAACAGCATAAGAATGTGTTAAAGTAAAGCACCAGGGTGGATGCTTTTCAAGATGAAAACCATTATCTTGATAAATGACAAATATTTAAGTTCCTGTGAAGTGCTTTTATAATGCTCAATCCTAAACAGACTATCCAAAAATATAGCTTTGAGCCCAGCTACATATACATGTATATTCAAAATGCATACAATTAATCATAACATAATTCACAACTGGTATTAGTTTATGGGTCTCTCTATCCTTTTGCCAAACATTCATTTCCTTTAATTTTCATTGACAGAAACCCAAATTCAACAGTGTACTTCCAGTATGTTATGAGAATTTTGAAACAATATGAATATAGCTTTGACAATAGTTTCTTTTTTTTTTTTATTTAAAAAATCAATCTTTTATTATTAAAAATATAAAAAAATAAATACGGTATGCATATTACACTAATTAGTGTATTTATTTAACATTTTGTCTTAGCACAACTCACTTTACTATAGTTTGGTCTATTCAGGATTTTGCAAATATAGTTACCAGCATCTATTAATTTATCTAAATCAACACCAGTCTCTATTTGTAAGCCATCAAGCATGTATACAACATCCTCAGTTGCAACATTACCCGATGCTCCTTGAGCATACGGACAACCACCAAGCCCTGCTACAGATGCATCCACTACACTGATGCCCATCTGAAATAAAAAAAATTAAGCTGTAGTAATAAGTAATAAAATCAAGCACATGAAAAAAGCTTATGTACAAGTACCCATTATGTATACTATAATTATTTTCCTCTGGCCTCAGTTTCTGGTGGCATACATCATTCTTACCCAAAAATGCTTTTGTACAATAAAACTAGTAATGTGTGCTGGTAGAACAAAAAAGTCATTACCTGGAGTTTACTTGGAGAGGGTTTCAGGGGTCAACGTCCCTGCGGCCTGGCCTGAGACCAGGGCTCATGGTGGATCAGGGTCTGATCAACCAGGCTGTTACTGCTGGCTGCACGCAAGCTGGCGTACGAACCACAGCCCAGTTGGTCAGGTACTGACTTTAGGTACCTGTCCAGTGCCTTCTTGAAGACAGCCAGGGGTCTATTGGTAATCCCCCTTATGTATGCTGGGAGGCAACTGAACAGTCTTGGGCCCCGGACACTTATTGTGTTGTCTCTCAGTGCACTCGTGGCGCCCCTGCTTTTCATCGGGGGAATGTTGCCTCTCCTGCCGAGTCTTTTGCTTTCATATGGAGTGATTTTCGTGTGCAGGTTTGGTACCAATCCCTCCAAGACCTTTCAAGTGTATATAATCATGTATCTCTCTTGCCTGCGTTCGAGGGAATACAGATCAAGGACCTTCAACCGTTCCCAGCAGTTTAGGTGCCTTATAGCAGCTATGTGTGCCGTGAAAGTTCTTTGTACGCTCTCCAGGTCTGCAATGTCGCCAGCCTTGAAGGGGGCCGTAAGTGTACAGCAGTATTCCAGCCTAGAGAGCACAAGCAATTTGAAGAGAATCATCATGGGCTTGGCATCCCTAGTTTTGAAGGTTCTCAATATCCGTCCTATCATTTTCCTAGCGGATGAGGTAGATACATTGTTGTGGTCTTTGAAGGCGAGATCCTCAAACATTATCACTCCCAGGTCCTTCACGTTAATTTTCTGCTCTATTATATGGTTGGAATTTGTGGTATACTCTGACACATTTTTAATTTCTTCAAGTTTTCCATATCTGAGTAGTTGAAATTTCTCTTCGTTGAACTTCATATTGTTTTGAGCGGCCCATTCGAAGATTTAGTTGATGTCCGATTGGAGTCTCGCGGTGTCTTCGATGGAGGCCACTGCCATGATGATCCGAATGTCATCCGCAAAGGAAGATACGGAGCTATGGCTTACATCTCTGTCTATGTCAGAAATGAGGATGAGGAATAGAATGGGAGAGAGTACTGTGCCTTGTGGAACAGAGCTTTTTACCGTGGCTGCCTGGGACTTTACTCTTTGTGTTCTATTTGTCAGGAAGTTGTAGATCCATCTACCAACTTTTCCCGTTATTCCTTTATCCTGCATTTTGTGTGCTATTACCCCATGGTCACAGTTGTCGAAAGCTTTTGCAAAGTCTGTGTATACTACATCTGTATTTTGTTTATTCTCTACAGCATCCAGGACCTTGTTATAGTGGTCCAGTAGCTGGGACAGGCAGGAGCGACCTGCTCTAGACCCATATTTTGACAATATGAAGTCTTTATGGATAAGCAAAACATTCTAAGTCAAAGTACAGGTACAACACCAATTTACTGGCAATGGATCGTCCAGCACCTCCTTTAGGATGGACAAAATTACAAGACTACTTTTTTCCCAAAATAGTTTACCTAGTGGCCACAGCATTGTATGGAGTGCATGCTCACTTATATTTACACTGCAAATGCTGGTGGTGGTGATCTCTTGATTCTTAGCATATTTTGCTAACAATCAACCTTAGCTATGGCTAGTGATTAGCTCTGCAGCCCCAGTAAAATTCTAAAATTTACCATTTTGGGAGTGGCAGTACTGCAACATTCTTTGTAAGTCTTCTTCTTTCAACAAACTGGCCGTATCCCACTGAAGTAGGGTGGCCCAATAGGAAAAACAAAATTTTCTCTTTTTAACTTTAGTAACGTATACAGGAGAAGGGGTTACTAGCCCCTTGCTCCCGGCATGCTAGACGGCCTCGGTAAAGCTTTTAAGGCCGTTGATCACGATAAAGAATTCAATACTGTTTATTTGGATTTTAGTAAGGCTTTTGATAGAGTACCACACCAGAGACTGTTAAAGAAAGTGACAGCTTATGACACTGGGGGAAAAGTGCTGTCATGGATCAAGTCATGGCTCACCAATAGGAAGCAGTGTGTGCATAAATGGGGTTAAATCTGAGTGGGGATCTGTAACAAGTGGCATTCCACAGGGATCAGTTTTAGGTCCATTGTTGTTTATAATATATATCAATGACCTTGATGAGGGAATTACTAGTGATATGAGCAAATTTGCTGATGACACATAGATAGGTAGGATAATTGCTTCAGGCATAGATGTCATGGAACTTCAGAAGGATTTAGACAAACTAAATGCGTGGTCAGAAAAGTACCAGATGCAGTTCAATGTTGAAAATTTTGAAGTTCTGAAGCTTGGGAATGTTCATAACCCTGGCACCTATCAGCTTAATAACGTAGAACTTAGTTGTACCTTAAACCAAGACAGCAATGCCTAAGCATACATAATAAGGCAAATAGATTACTGGGTTTTATATCAAGAAGTGTAAGCAACAGAAGTCCCACAATTATACTACAGCTTTATATATCATTAGTAAGGCCTCACCTAGATTACACAGCTCAGTTCCAGTCTCCATATCACAGAATGGATATAAATTCGTTAGAAAACATTCAGCAAAGAATGACAAAATTAATTCATAGCATTAGAAATCTTCCGTATGAAGAAAGATTGAAGTCCCTTAAATTACATTCACTTGTAAGATGAAAAATGAGGGGAGACATGATCGAAGTGTATGAGTGGAAGATGGGTACTAATAAAGGGGATATAAATAATGTCTTGAGGATGTCCCTCCAAGAGAGAACCCACAATAATGGATTCAAATTACATAAGTTTATATTTAGAAAGGATATAGGAAAGTACTGGTTTGGAAATAGGGTGGTTGATGAGTGGAACAATCTGCATAGTAGGGTGACTGAGGCTAAAACCTTGGGTAGTTTCAAGTTTAGGTTGGATAAATACATGAAAAAGAAGGTTGGATTTGAGTGGGACTTGCACATGAGTTACTGGATTTTTTTTTTTAACAGGTCAGCTGTTTGCCACCAAAGCAGGGTGACCCAAAAAGAGAGAAAAACCCAAAAAGAAAGAAAAAACTTTCATCATCATTCAACACTTTCACCATCATTCATACATAATCGCTGTCTTTGCAGAGGCGCTCAGATACTACAGTTTAGAATGGTTTTCTTCTTTTTCTTTTTAGTAGGCTATACGGGAAAACAGGTTACTAGCCCACTGCTCCCGGCATTTTAGTTGACTTTTACAACACACACATAGCTTAGGGAGGAAAGATTCTTATTCCAATTCCCCATGGATATGAAAGGAAAAGTAATAAGAACAAGAACTATTAAGATAAAATCAAAGAAAATTCAGATGAGTGTACGTGTACATGCACGTGTAGTGTGACCTAAGTGTAAGTAGAAGTAGCAAGACGTACCTGAAATCTTGCATGATTTATGAGACAGAAAAAAGACACCAGCAATCCTATCATCATGTAAAACAAATATAGGCTTCTGTTTTACACTCACTTGGCAGTACGGTAGTACCTCCCTGGGCGGATGCTATCTACCAACCTACTACCTAGGATTTTTTGTAAGTACAGTAATGAATAAACCTGCTTCATTTATGCTTATGCTTAATTAAAGTTTCCAGCAGACCATGGTGGGTCAGAGGTGTATTGTTGCATTCATACTTCATGAATGATCATTTTATGGAAATATCAACAGTTCCTGTATATTTGGGAGATCTTATTCAGTTACTATTGATTTAATATTTACAATGTTCTTTAATTGAATTATATTTTTTCTTTGTTAGTTTTTACCAAATGTATTCTTAATTTTTAAATTTTTATTTTATGTATAGAGAGAGCTCACATTTAGTTTCCTCAAAAACTATAGATTCATTAGTTACAGTTTTCTTTAAGAAGAATTATAAATATCAAATATGTACTGTATTTTTTCTTGATTATTTTTCTTTCCAAATTCATTGGCATTTTGTGTATGTTTTTAATGCTCTGCTGCCCAAATAATGGATGTGTCCTGTGGGTGAGACACAGGACAATAAGAGTTCCCACCACACCCTCCCTCACATAATTATCTTCACTATTTTCCCACACTACACACCCAGGCATATTATCCCTCACCATGACAATGGGGGAGCTGCAAACACACACAAGGACTGGAGTGAACATGAAAGTGAGAAAAAGAGGGAAGCAGTCAAGCTGCTGCTGGCTACTACACACCTATCACCCAATTCCTCTCATGCCCTGTACTCAACCACAACTGGAGGAAGGGGTGAGCTTATTGAGAATATAGCATTATTTTAGATATGTGAAATGGTGGGAGTGAATAGGACAGAGAGGGAGACTGCTGCTGCCTGCTCCTACACATCTGTACTGCATATTGCATTATAAATCTGTTCTTTTTCATTTATGTATCTGCATGTTAATTAAAAATATTTAATACTGTGTGTAAGTAAACAGGAATAGCACGGAATGTAAAATATTTTGCAAATACATTTAGCCTAAAAAAATAAATGAAATTTAAACTGGAATACAGGAAGGCCCTGCTTATACAGCAGGTTAGGTTCTGAGCTACTGCTGTAAAGCAAAATTCACTGTAAAACAAATCAGTTTTTTTTTCACTTTCAAATGCATATAAAAGCCTGATAACATGTTAACACTATCATATATTAAGTGAGCAATACAGCTAGGTCTAAAAAATGCATATACAGTACACAAATTACTTATAATAGCTTATAGTGAGTGGTAGATATATTTATTGTAGGAAGACTGAATAAATGAAGAATGGGTATAACTGAAAACTGCTGTACTAGCGAAATGCCGTAAAGTGAAGAGCTGTAAAGCAAAGCCCTCCTGTATTAAGGCTTGGAAACACATCTCCAATTGTAATACAGGTGATTATGGAAAAATGGGTTCTAAGTTCCGAACAATTAACTTACAGTACAAAAATTTTTCAGGAATGCAATAATACAAGTGGAAGGAACTACTGTACTATAATTTATTGTACTAAACAATTTAGAGCCTTCTCCTATATCCAATATTATTTAAAAATTTTATCCAACATACCTATTAGTTATTTCTTACCTGAAGTGCTGTTAGAATATTAGGCAATGCTTGGCCATAAGTATCATGACAATGAACTGCCAGAACATCTGGTGGTAAGAGTGTCATTACTTCTTCCAACATTCTGCGCATGCTCCCCGGAGTCCCTACACCAATGGTGTCACCCAGAGAAATTTCATAGCACCCCATTTGGTACATTGCATATGCAACCTGTTAAAAAATATTACCATAACTAAGATGTCTCTATTTGTACAAAAAATTACTTTGTCTTGAGCAGCAATACTATCCACATAGTAATTAAGATTAAGGGTGTGAATATGTAATTGTAGTAACAATAATAATAATAATACAGTAAATGTGAAATCTAAATGTAATTTAAATATTATTTAGAGAATAATAATATCTGGTGGTGATAGTACAATATTGCATTCTGAAGTGTGTGCTGTTTTATTGTCTACATGTAGGATATACTTCAGATCAACAAGTGCTCATTACACTTCTATAAAGTGTAGAGATGAAATTTGGTGAATTATTTTAATTATGATGTCCATATACTCCTGGAAACACAATATGCAATGAATGAAATACAGTGGACCCCCGCATAACGATTACCTCCGAATGCGACCAATTATGTAAGTGTATTTATGTAAGTGCGTTTGTACGTGTATGTTTGGGGGTCTGAAATGGACTAATCTACTTCACAATATTCCTTATGGGAACAAATTCGGTCAGTACTGGCACCTGAACATACTTCTGGAGTGAAAAAATATCGTTAACTGGGGGTCCACTGTAATTCCAAAAGAGCACTTGGGAGTTAATAGCAAAATATTAAAACATGGCATTATCTGATTAGCTTAAGGCACAGTTGCACCTAAAGATAAATTAGGAAACACTATAATGCCTACCCAATTATGATTGAAAATGACATCCATAGCTACCTTAGCCACCGTCTTGGGATCAACTGGACCTTCATAGGGACATCCACAAACACAAGAGACATAACCTCTCACTCGGATTCCCATCTTATTAGCTGCATTCATCACATCTTGAAAGCGCTCAAGAGATTCTGCAATACTGCAGTTAATATTCTTTTGACTAAATGACTCAGAGGCTGCCCCAAATATAGCTACTTCCTCGCAACCTGCGGCAATCTGTAAAATATATGGCAACACCTACAGTGAGCAATATCATACTATGAACTTGAATATTATATATAGTACTGTAATTGTATTTTGTACTTAAACAAGCCTATAAGTTTAAGAAAGTTGCACCTCAAAAAAACTTTAAAATAATACCCAAAATAAATGTTTTTTCTTAATATGACATATACTATAAAGATTTTAGTCAAAATTTTTTTCTAAAAATGCAGGTCAAACAATGAATTTAAATAAAGGTAACATTAAAAACTTTGGAAGCCAAAATGAAGAGACACTGTCGAGTTATCACACAGTATCCATAATGAAAAACATAATAAATATTGTAATTATAAAATCTGTGAAAGTATCCCAACCATGATTCATGAAATCACAATGACACGATCACAAACAAACCATACCACGGAAGTGGGTTGAACTCGTGGCAAGTGAGTCATTAAACTCCAGGCCAGCGCATAAGCTACTGGGCCAGCTGGCTACAATAAGATTTATCCAACTAGGTACATTTATACACCACAGAGGTTACCACAGGCCCCACTGAGACCACAAATGCAAGTTTTTAAAGATGAATCTCCCACCATCATGGCCATGATGAACTCTAGCTCTAGTCCCCTTAAAGCCGTTATCATGACTCACGAAATCTTAGTAGTAGCCAGCTGGCCCAATGACTTACGCACTGGCCTGGAGTTTTATGACTCACTCGCCACGAGTTCAATCTCCACCCATGGTATGGTTTGTTTGCAATCATGTCATCATGATTTCATTAGTGATGATGACAGCTTTGAGGGGACTAAAGCTAGAGTTTGTCACAGCCACACAGGCAGGAGATTCATCTGTAAAAACCTGCATTTGTGGTCACAGTGGGGCCTGTGCTAACCTTTGGTGAATAAATACAATGGAACCTCGGCTTACGAGTTTAATCCGTTCCGTGACCTTGCTCATATCCCGATCTGCTTGTATGCTGAGTCAATTTTCCTCATTTAAATTAACTGAAATTCCATTATACTAATTCATTCCAGCAGAATTCCTGCTCTTGGAGGCAGAACAAAAATACTTCAATACGATGCTCATATCTATCACAATCCATCTAATATGATATAATAAACAAAATAAATAACATAGAAACCTGATATATGTATACTCTAGAATGAATAAAATATGTCATATGACAAGTGGCGGCCATTCCCTACCTCAAGCGGCCGACTTGTTGTGGGTCAGGGGGAGACCTCCTGCCATCCCCGACACTCACTCCTGACACCAACATCCCAGCTTTGTGAATACGTGTTCAGTTTCACTTCTCTCCTACAAGCTAGTTGTGTTTGTGAACTGTATTTTGATCTTTTAATTACCATATCTTGTATCTGCCAAGCAATCATGACACCTAGTAGGTATACCAGTGTTACTGAATGACTTACTGAATAATTGACTTACTGACTTGATTGAATGACTTACTGGCTTAACTGACTGACTTGACTGAATGACTTACTAACTGATTTGACTTACTGATTTGACTGACTGACTTGACTGAATGACTTACTGATTTGACTGACTTGACTTACTGATTTGACTGACTGAGTTGACTTACTGACTTACACACTTGACTGACTGACTGACTTGACTGACTGACTAACTTAACTGACTTGACTGACTGAATGACTTGACCGACTTACTGAATGACTTAAAGTTAGACTTTTTCACTGAAGAGAACCCTTACCGTCAGTTGTATAATGTACTGCAGGGTAAAATAGAGCAGAAATCCCTTACAAAATTTATGCACACTCCAGTACAACCATCAACTTCAGTACCAGAACCTCAACCATCCACCTCAGCCCAGTAGGACCACAACATAACTCTCCACTCTCTTCACAGTCATCGACAAACACCAGCACCCAAAATTTAAGGTAAGAAATACTATTATTTCTCTTACAGTTATAGTCTTAAGCAGTAAAAACAACATAATACATCACAACAATGAACTATTTTTTTTTTTTTTTATCACACTGGCCGATTCCCACCAAGGCAGGGTGGCCCGAAAAAGAAAAACTTTCACCATCATTCACTCCATCATTGTCTTGCCAGAAGGGTGCTTTACACTACAGTTTTTAAACTGCAACATTAACACCCCTCCTTCAGAGTGCAGGCACTGTACTTCCCATCTCCAGGACTCAAGTCCGGCCTGCTGGTTTCCCTGAACCCCTTCATAAATGTTACTTTGCTCACACTCCAACAGCACGTCAAGTATTAAAAACCATTCGTCTCCATTCACTCCTATCAAACACATTCACGCACGCCTGCTGGAAGTCCAATGAACTACAATTATATATTCACTTTTATTTTTGTAAGACCTGGAGGTTTAAAAAAAGTTGTTTAAGGGGGAAGCTCGCATCCTGAATTTTTGCTTGTATCCAGAAACAAAAAATCAACTGAGTGAATGCTCACATCCTGAAAAACTCATATGGTGGGGCACTCATAAGCCGAGGTTCCACTGTATACCTAGTTGGATAACTCTTATTGTAGCAAGTTGGCCCAGTGGCTTATGCACTGGCCTGGAGTTTTACAATTCACTCGCCATGATTCAATATTCCCCCATGGTATGTCTTATTCCACCCATGCTCGTATTCACAGCATGAGCGTCTACATGCTGTGTTTACAGTATTGTGTGTTCTTTCACCTAAGTCATTGGAAGAAAACACCTACAATGAAATTAAATTAAACTGCTGATATTTTGTGAATATTATAATTTTGTTTTTAACAGGCTGGCTGTCTGCCACTGAGGCATGGTGACCCAAAAAAAGAAACATATTTAATAGAGTACTATGTCTGATAGTGAACTGTAGTTTTAACTAGCTTGCTATGTTTTTATTTTTATTCCATGCCTTAGCAGAAAATGGCTAAGGACTGCTTTCAAATTTCATTTTAAATCTGGAGCAGGTGGGGACAGTCACCTTTTCAAACACGTGAAAACCTGAATAAGGATAAAAACCAACTCAAGTATTATGAAAACAGTAGTTTTGTCCATTTTTAGCAGTAGTAAAATTACTAATAAATTTAAAATACAAATATACTGTATCTACAAATACATGTACAGATTTATGTTCCATGTCAAAAAATAATTATTAAATTATAAACTACACACAAGAAAACAGTTCTAATTACTCTTACTGTAACTTGATAACTTACTGCAGCTTCAAAGCCTTTTATATTTGGGGTAAGAACAGGATATGATACCCTTTGACTCTCTTGATCCCACGCATCACCTCAGCATGATCTGCTAACTGTGGCACCCATTTTGGTGATACAAAACTGCAAAGGTTAAAGTAAAAGTAAAACTCTGAAATAAAATAACATGGGGATTAACAAGCAAGAAACTACTGTTTCAGTGTGCAAATACCAGTACAGTGGACCCTCGACCAATGATGGTATCGTCTAACGTTAAATCCGACTAGCGATACATTTTAACGCAAAAATTTTGCCTCGACTAGTGCTAAAAAACTCGACCAACACGATTCGTTCCGTTCAAGATGCGTCCACTTGTGGCCAGTGTTTACAAGCCAGCCAGCCACCGCGGTCCCATCCAAACATACAATCGGAACATTTCATGTTATCACAGCGTTTTTAGTGATTGCACCTCAAAATAAGTCACCATGGGCCCCAAGAAAGCTTCTAGTGCCAACCCTACAGCTAAAAGGGTGAGAATTACTATGGATATGAAGAAAGAGATTATTGCTAAGTATGAATGTGGAGTGCGTGTCTCCGAGCTGGCCAGGTTGTACACAAAACCCGATCAACCATCGCTACTATTGTGGCCAAGAAAACAGCAATCAAGGAAGCTGTTCTTGCCAAGGTGCAACTATGTTTTCGAAACTGAGACCGCAAGTGATAGAAGATGTTGAGAGACTGTTATTGGTGTGGATAAACGAAAAACAGGTAGCAGGAGACAGCATCTCTCAAGCGATCATATGTGAAAAGGCTAGGAAGTTGCATGATGATTTAATTAGAAAAATGCCTGCAACTTGTGGTGATGTGAGTGAATTTAAGGCCAGCAAAGGTTGGTTTGAGAGATTTAAGAATCGTAGTGGCATACATAGTGATAAGGCATGGTGAGGCTGCCAGTTCGGACCAAAAAGAAGCTGAAAAATATGTGCAGGAATTCAAGGAGTACATAGACAGTGAAGAATTGAAACCTGAACAAGTGTTTAATTGTGACACTGACAATGTTGTGAAACACTTTAGGAATGTCATAAAGGAACGGGAGGTACAGGCCTCTATGGACAGATATGTTGTGCGACAGAGGTCCAGTGATTCTCAAGCTGGTCCTAGTGGCATTAAAAGAAGAAGGGAAGTAACCCTGGAAAAGGACTTGACACCTCAAGTCCTAATGGAAGGGGATTCCCCTTCTAAACACTAACACCATCCACACTCTCCCCTCCTCCCATCCCATCACCAGCTCTTCAATAAAGGTAAGTGTCATGTAATTGTACATGTCTTCTTCAGTTTGTGTGTATTAAAATTAATATTTCATGTGGTAAAAAAATTTTTTTTTCAATACTTTTGGGTGTCTTGCACGGATTAATTTGATTTCCATTATTTCTTATGGGGAAAATTAACTCGACTAACGATAATTTCGATTAATGATGAGCTCTCAGGAACGGATTAATATCGTTGGTCGAGGGTCTACTGTATTTGTTATTATTCTTTTAAATTTTATTAAAAATTTTCAGTACTGTGTACTAATCCTTTACATAAATTAAAAATCAAGACAAAGCCTTACATACATTTAATAAAGCCCAGCTGGTCAGATACTGACCAGCCAGGCTGTGGTTTGTACATCACTTTACGTGCGGCCAGCTGTAACAGCCTGGTTGATCAGACCCCAATCCACCAAGAGGCCTGGTCTCAGACCGAGCCACGGGCATTGACCCCTGAAACCCTCTCCAGGTATAACTCCAGGTATACACTAGTTCTGCACATTTCATGGGGTTACATTCCTGAAATTGGTACTAAAGTTGGTTCCAGAATTTCTATGCAGGAAGGGCTTTGGGGCGGCAATCAGTCTAGAAGTGATGGGCAGCTAGGAGACTTCATTCAAAGCTGTATTATACTATTATTAATATTATTTGGGGAGCCCTGGGGGCTGAAGATTATGGTGGTTTCAGCCCCTCTTGGTGCCACCATTGGCATTATAGTTGAAATCACAATATGTTAAGTGAAGAACTAGTGGGAAAAATAGGGTTGTGTTCTTGACAACTCCAAATGCATTTTTTTAATTTCTTACTTCATGATGTCTTATACTGTAGCTATCATTGTGTGTTGCTCTAGAAATGAGTGGAGAATTTATGTGGTCCTACTAGGCCTAGTTGAATACAGAGCACATTAATAAATACCCTGAAAGTATGGTCAAGGCTCTCATTAACTGACTAATAAGGGGGAGGAGGGTGTATATGCTGATTGTGCGAAACCTCCAAATTATGAAATTAGTTTTTCGTTATCATCCAGATGTCTTTTAAATCAGTGGACTTGATTAACTATTGTAGAAGACAACCGACACTAAGAATGCAGGTATTGTAACCTGCAGTACAACAGTACAGTACTGTACATTAATTTTATAGTATTGTAATTTATAGTAATTTTACTTACTTTTTTTGTGGTAGAAAGATGGTGTTAGCTGCTGTGATCAATAATAGTGACTCGCAATAACTTTTACTGAGGCAGAGTTGTAAAGCTCCACTAACATCTACATTAACTTAAGTGCACAGTCTGTAAATTTATCCTTGCTTTTACAGATATATGACACTGTTTCTTAACACCATATTCCTTACATACCAGGCTACCAAGACACCAGATTCAACCTTCTTTATTAGTTCAAGTTTCTGTCTAACACTAAGAACCATACATTTCCTCTTGGCACCACCAAATGCTTTAGAAGCCATTGTTAATTGTGCTTTATTTAATATGCTAATAAAGTCACACATGCTCTAAACCCAGGGAAAATTAGAAACTGAATGAGTGTATGCATGAGTGAGCACTAGCAACAAGCTGACTTGGGTGGCCTACAGCTAAGGAACAATGATGACAGACAGGTCCTGGACATGGCTGCTCTGGCCTGTACCAGACATATGTTGGAGACATCGGACTTGGTCTGATACTTCTGAAGACAACCGGACACTATCGCTACAGACCAAACCTGGCCAATCATGAACAATTATTTTCATAATTTGGTAGTTTTAGACAATTGGTAACAGTGTATACTCCTTTGCCCGTTAGTCCATTAATGAGAGGGTTCACTGTATTTATAAATCTTACGGTTCTTGTTCTTGGTAAATAAAGTACAGTAGCGTATGAGGTAATACCTTATTACAGTTACAACAATGTTCTCTAATATGATTTGAATATAAGAGGCATTGCGTGGTAGGAAAGAGTAAGTGCCACCATGCCCAAATTGGGTTAGTGAACAAACTGGTTTCTTAATATTTAGTTTGCTTGTGGTTATGTGTAGATATTGCCATTTGCATCTGTAAGTTAGGCTCTTAGCCCCAAAATAAAGTATGGCAACATGAGCTTTATAGCTATGATTTGGCCCACACATTTTTCTCCATTGTTTGAATTTGGCACATATTTTCTTCCACCATGCAGTGCCTTATATGAAGGGTGTACAAAACTGATACTACTGTAATTTATTTGATCATGGTTAAGCTTCAATAATCCACTAAATTTCACAATCCAGAAATTGCTTGGTCCCAAAGTTTGTTAGATACCAGGGAGTGTACCATATATATATATTACTGTATGCACAATACTGTAGACTCAATATACCTGGTTACTTCAACAGATTGATGGCCAGTCTGGGAGAGTCTATTTATAAATTCAATCTTGACATCTGTGGGGACAAGTTCCTTCTCATTCTGCAGCCCATCTCTAGGACCAACTTCAACAATTCTAACTTGTTTTGGATACTCTGGGAAACTATGTGTACCATGAATCTGAAAAAAAATATCCAATAAGTTTGATTTTTAATGTTCCTGCAAAGTTAATGTTAAACAAAGTATTTATCTTAAAACTCATATAGTACTGTAGAAGTAATAAAGCCCCATGACTCAATGGTGTTACACAACAAATAGTTTTCATATCTGGCACATTTTTCCAAACATATTACTGTATGAAAGAGGGGAAGGTACCTAGGGATTGGCACAAAGCATGTATAGTTCCTTTATATGAAGAAAAGGGGGACAAAAGAGATTGTAAAAATTATAGAGGAATAAGTTTACTGAGTATACCAGGAAAAGTGTACAGTGGGGCTATTATTGAAAGAATTAGAGGAAAGACAGAAAACAGGATTGCAGATGAGCAAGGAGGCTTTAGAGTGGGTAGGGGATGTGTAGATCAAGTGTTTACATTGAAGCATATATGTGAACAGTATTTAGATAAAGGTAGGGAAGATTTCATTGCATTTATGGATTTAGAAAAGGCATATGATAGAGTGGATTGGGGAGCAATGTGGCAGATGCTGCAAGTGTATGGAATAGGTAGTAAGTTACTAAATGCTGTAAAGAGTTTTTATGACCAATCATTGCAACACTCTTTAACAAATCCATTGAATCCTCCACCTTCCCTACAGTACTCAAAATAGCAAGGGTCACCCCGATCCACAAAGGAGGAGACCAAACAGAGTTGAATAACTATAGGCCAATATCCAACTTACACCCTCTCTCAAAAATCTTCGAAAAATTAATTCATAAACGAATCTACTCCTACCTTATCTCCCAAAACATACTCAACCCCTGCCAATTTGGATTCAGGCCTAATAAAAATACTAATGATGCTATTATACACATGCTAGAACATATATACACTGCAATAGAGAAAAAAGAAGTCCCACTGGGGATCTTCATTGACTTACGTAAAGCTTTTGATACATTTTGACCATGACTTGCCCCACGTAAAATTGTCACACTATGGTATAAGGGGGCACTCCCTCAACTACCTCAAGTCTCCTCAGCAACCAGTCCCAAATTATGTGTATGCAAATGGGGCAAACTCCTCTGCACAACCAATTACAGTTGGTGTCCCACAGGGAAGTGTCCTTGGCCCTCTCTCTTTCTCCTATACAAAAATTGACCTACCAAATGCTTCGCAATTACTCAAACCCACACTATTTCCCGATGACACTAACATACTTCCTTCCCATCCCCGACCCATCACGCAAGCCAATACTGTAAATACCAAATTACAGAAAATACAACCTGGATAGAACTAACAAACTTTCACCTAAACATTGAACAAAACCTACTTCATTCAGTTTGGTAACAGAGCTCCCAGATGACCCTCTTAACATAATGAAACGGATCACCTATCACAAGCTAACAGAGGGAAAATTCTAGGAATCCCCCCCTTGATAATGGGGACTCAAATTTCATACCATATACAACAAATTTCTAAAAAATTTCCAAGATTGTAGGCTACCTATCGAAGATATGGTACTAGCCCCCACAGTCGCCCTCCTGGCCCATATCACCTCTTATTACCCCTATCTCACCTTTTAAATTTGTGCATGGGCTCAACAACAAGTAACCATCTCAGACCACTAATTACCCAACAAAGGCTGCAGTTAGAATGATAACAAATTCTCACTATGGGCAGCACACTCCACCAATATTCAATACACTAAACCTCCTCACCATACAAAACATCCATACTTACTACTGCACCTATTACATACATAAAAACACTTAACTCTGATATTAACCCTCCCCTCAAAAAATCCCCCTGCCAACCTCAACAGAACACATGACCATAACACAAGGCACAGATCACTCTTGATGTTCCTCGTGTCCATCTCCCACTATGTAAAAACTCAATGCACATAAAAGGCCCTAAAATCTGGAATTCATTACCTGTAAATATAAAAGAAACACTCCCTGTTTAAAAATTCAAGTCTCTTCTCAAAGATCACTTACTCACCCAAAACCAAATAAATACTGAATAACTAAACCCTTAAAAAATTTGTATATCTTAAATGTTTTCACAATTAAAATCAAAATAAATGTTAAACCTAAAACCCAATCTAACTTTATTTTTTTTTAAATACACTACCTAACAGAATACTCCATTCTACTGAATGTACAACAATGCATACAACCATATGACCTGTCTTTGTAATACTCACTTGTGCTTTATAGTAACCTGTTTACATTAATGTTTTATCACTGATTTCATCATTGCTTAGTTAATCTTAAGTTAATTTTAAGCCAGCCCGTAATGCTATGCATAGTATAAGTGGCTTTGGCATACTGCTCTTACCTGTATTTGTTGTACCTCTGTATGTGTGCTCAAATTTTTAAATAAATAAATAAATAAATAAATAAATGAGGATAGTGAAACTCAGGGTAGGGTGTGCAGGAGAGAGGGAGATTACTTCCCAGTAAAAGTAGGGCTTAGACAGGGATGAGTAATGTCACCATGGTTGTTTAATATATTTATAGATGGGGTTGTAAAAGAAGTAAATGCTAGGGTGTTGGGGAGAGGGGTGGGATTAAATTATGGGGAATCAAATACAAATTGGGAGTTGACACAGTTACTTTTTGCTGATGATACGGTGCTTTTGAGAGATTCTTAAGAAAAGATACGAAAGTCAGTGGACTAGTTTGGGAGGGTGTGTAAAGGTAGAAAGTTGAAAGTGAATATAGATAAGAGTAAGGTGATGAAGGTATCAAACAATTTAGATAAAGAAAAACTGGATATCACATTGGAGATAGGGAGTGTGGAAAAAGTGAATGTTTTCAGATAGTATTTGAGAGTTGACTTGTCAGTGGATGGGTTTATGAAGGATGAGGTTAACCACAGAATTGATGAAGAAAAAAAGGTGAGTGGTGCGTTGAGGTATCTGTGGAGACAAAAAACGTCATCCATGGAGGCAAAGAAGGGAATGTACAAAAGTATAGCGGTACCAACACTCTTATATAGGTGTGAACCTTGGGTTGTAAATGCTGCAGGAAGGAGGTGGCTGGAGGCAGTGGAGATGTCCTGTCTAAGGGCAATGTGTGGTGTAAACATTATGAAGAGAATTCAGTGTGTGGAAATTAGGAGGAGGTGTGGAGTTACTAAAAGTATTAGTCAGTGGGCTGAAGAGGGGTTGTTGAGGTGGTTTGGTCATTTAGAAAGAATGGAACGAAGTAGAATGACTTGGAGAACGCATAAATCTGTAAGGGAAGGAAGGCGGGGTAGGGGTCATCCTTGAAAACGTTGGAGGGAGAAGGTAAAGGAGGTTACGTGGGTGAGGGGCTTGGATTTCCAGCAAGCAAGTGTGAGAGTGTTAGATAGGAGTGAATGGAGACGAATGGTTTTTGGGACCTGACGAGCTGGAGTGTGAGCAGGGTAATATTTTGTGAAGGGATTCAGAGAAACCGGTTAGCTGGACTTGAATCCTGGAAATGCGAAGTACAATGCCTGCACTTTTAAGAAGGGGTTTGGGATATTGGCAGTTTGGAATGACTATCTAAACTGTTGTATCTGTGCACCTCTGCATAGACAGTGATTATGCATGAGTGATGGTGAAAGTGTTGACTGATAATGAAAGTTTTTTCTTTCGTTTTGGATTTTTCTTTCTTTTGGGTCACCCTGCCTTGGTGGGAGAGGGCCATCATGTTGAAAAAAATAAATTACTGTACTACATGTTATTTATTACATAAATGACAGAAAATTGGATCGTAAATACTGTATAAAAGGTTGTAGAACTCAAAATGTGGCTCAGTTAACAGCGCAATTAGCTTAAATACTGAGTGTCCATGGTTCTATCCTTTGTTTATGTATTAGTACTGTAGGTACCTGGGTGTTAGTCAACTGTTGTGAATTGCATTCCAGGGGGTTGTGGTATACCTTAGGTATGACTGGGCTTTGAAATGAGCTGAGGTAGGATAACAGCTCTTAGCCTGTAAAACTGGCGTGTAAAAAAAAAAAAACTGACTTTAATTAACAAATATCTCTAGGAGAGACAGTACATGTATAAGGTACAATACTCAACAAATACAGTGGACCTCTGGATGTCGGCTGGTGTGGAAATCTGCCAATTCAGAAATCGAGCTCTTTTTTCGGCATAATTTCCCCCCGGATTACGGCCATCCGCTTGAAAATCATTGGTATGAGATGCGTCCACCCGCAGTGATGCGCTTCCTCACGTGTATCACACTCAGTCTGCACGTCTGTCTCATTGCGTTAGGAGTACTCCGTGTGCTCATCCACTGTTTTCGGTGCTTGTTTATTGATTGCAACTGTGAAATAAGCCACCATAGGGCCAAGGAAAACTCAAGAGTGTCAGCCCATTGGTAAAGAAGGTGAGAAACATGATAGAATTCAAGAAAGAAGTTATCGCAAAATATGAAAGTGACGTACATGTGGCAGAGGTGGCCAGGATGTATGGGAAATTTACATCAACAATCAGTTCCATCCTGTTGAAGAAAGCAGAAATCAAGGAGGCTGATGTTGCAAAAGGTGTAAATATGCTAACAAAACAGAGGTCTCAAATAATCAAGGATGTGGAGAAGTTGTTGTTGGTGTGGGTCAACGAGAAACAATTAGTGGGAGATAGTGTTTTGGAGGGGATAATTTGCGAGAAAGCAAGGCAGTTGCATGCGGATCTTGTAAAGAAAATGCCGGGAACGAGTGCTGCTGTTAGTGAATTTAAGGCCAGCAAAGGCTGGTATTCACTCTGTCAGACACTGCAACACAATGGTATCTTGGTACAGAACAGAAAACAACTTGGACAACTTCTACTAGCGAGAATGACTGGATCTGAGAGGGACGTGAACTCCCAACGACTACATTCTTACCTCTACCTGTGGCCTACATCTCACCTCCTGGTGGTATATAAGGCTCCATCCTGTCACTTCAACTCCATATTGTTTCACACTATGGAACAATACTCTTCTCCAGACTGAGGGACTGACCACCTCAAAACTTCAAGGGTGATGAAGTGATTACATCGTCTTCACATCCCTTCTATCAACTTTTCTGTACTCGACTGAAGAAGCCTACTGTGTAGGCAAAACGTTTCAAAATAAAGATACCTAACTGTTGCATATATGTCTTACCTAACAAAGGCTGGTTCCACAGATTCAAGAAGCGTAGTGGCATACAGTGTTGTAAGGTATGACGAGGCTGCAAGTTCTGATAAACATGCGGCCGAAGCATTCATTGATGAATTCAAGGGGTACGTAGAGGCTGAAGGATTCCTCCCCCCAACAAGTGTTAATTGTGATGAAACAGGCCTCTTTTGGAAGAAAATGCCAAAGAGGACCTACATCATACAGGAGGAAAAGGCACTGCCAGGACACAAGCCTATGAAGGATGGGCTAACTCTTTTGTTCTGTGGTAATGCTAGTGGGGATTTCAAAGTGAAGTCTTTACTCGTATATCACTCTGAAAATCCTTGAGTGTTCAAGAAAAACAATGTTATATGAATTGTGTGTGATGTGGAGCGCTAACAATAAGGCATAGGTCACGAGGCTAATTTTCATTGAGTGGGTCAATGAAGTGTTTGGCCCAAGTGTGAAGAAACACCTCCTGGAAAATAAATTGCAACTTAAGTGCCTCCTGGTAATGGACAATGCTCCTGTTCATCCTCCAGAATTGGAAGACCTATTGTTTGAGAAGTGTATGTTCATCACAGTGAAGTTCTTGCCCCCTAATACCACTCTTCTCATCCAGCCCATGGACCAACAGGTCATTTCAAACTTTAAAAAACTGTACACCAAAGCAATGTTTCAAAGGTGCTTTGAAGTGACCTCAGACACTGAATTTACCCTAAGAGAGTTATGGAGGAATCACTTCAATATCCTCCACTGCATAAGCCTTACAGATAAGGCTTGGCAGGGAGTGACTTCCAGGACTTTGAACTCTGCTTGGAGAAAATTGTGGCCACAATGTGTCCTCGACAAGGATTCTGAAGGGTTTGAAGCTGACCCTGATGACCCTATGCCTATTGTGGAATCTATTGTCTTTGGGGAAGTCCATGGGGTTGGATGTGAGTGGCCAGGATGTGGAAGAGTTGGTGGAGGACCACAGGGAAGAGCTAACCACTGAAGAGCTGCAACACCTTCAACAGGAACAGCAACAGACTGCAGATGAGGATATTGCTTCAGAGGAGGAAGAGAGGGGGAGAATGTGCCCTCTTCACTGATTAAGGACATTTGTGCGAAGTGGAGTGAGGTGCAAAGTTTTGCGAAGAATTATCACCCATACAAAACTGTTGCAAGCCATGTCTGCAAATGTTCAATGGCAATGTCTTGTCCCATTTTAGGCAAATTTTACAGAGGTGCCAGAAACAGGCCTCTCTGGACAGATTTTTTGTGTGACAGGGGTGCAGTGGCTCTCAAGCTGGTCCTAGTGCCAGCAAAAAACAAAGAAGGGAAGTAACCCCAGAGAGGGACTTGATACCTGAAGTCCTTATGGAGGGGGATTCCCCTTCCAAACGATAGCTTCAACTCCCTCTCCCCTCCTCGCCTTCTTCCATATGCCAACAAGTCGCCAATAAAGGTATGTAATGTTCATTATTAAAATTGCTGCTTTATATTTCTTACTGTTTTCTGTACGTAAAACTATAGGTATTCTTTAAAAAATGTATTTTTTGTTAATATTTTGGGGTGTCTGGAACGAATTAATTGGATTTATATTATTTCTTATGAGAGATATTACTTCGGTTTTCGGTTATTTCGAATTTAGGCCAACTTTCTGGAATGGATTACAGCCGATGGGGGTCCACTGTATAGTATATTATTCACAGTAACTTATAACTTCAATTCATTTTAGAAATAAATGTACTTCAATTTATTGTACAGTACTGTCAATTAATCTGGCATTATACTTTTGATCAATATTTATCATCATCATCATCGTCATTGCCCCAATTCTCACTCCCATACAGAGGAGAGTAATTTCCCCAAAAAATTAAAAGAATTTTAGGAAAAAAATATGGCTTACAAGATTCATTGAGACAAGCCTAAGTTAGATTAGTTTACATTATGTTACGTTCATTAGGTTCAGTTAGGTTATGTCTACTTAGGTTACATTAGATTAGGCTTCATTATGTTAGGTTACATTTTGCTGGAGTGATTAGTTAAGGTTAGGTTAGGTAAGATTTTGCTTGGATTTTTAACCCGTAGGGGACTGTCTATCTTATTTCCATTGGGGGGTGGGGTCTTTTAATCTTGTCCCCCAGGATGCGACCCACAACAGCCAACTAACACGGCCCTGAGCCTGGCTGGCAAAGCTCTCCCTTCACACGCTAAGGGTCCAGACTCGATTCCTGGCCGGGTGGAAACATTCGATGCATTTCCTTACACCTGTTGTCCTATTCGCCTAACAAGTAGGTACCTGAGTGTTAGTCGACTGGTGTGGGTCGCATCCTGGGGGACAAGACTGAGGACCCCAACGGAAATCAGAAAGTCCCTCGATGACGCACTGCCTTTCTTGGGTTATCCTGGATGGCTAACCCTCCGGGGTTGAAAAACCGAATAAAAATCTTACATTAATACTCAGGTACCTACTCAGTGGTAGGTGAGCAGGGACAGCAGGTGTATGGAAACATGCCCAACGATTCCACCCATGTCGGGGATCAAACCCGACACCCAGTATTTGAACTGAGTGTGCTATCAACAGAGCCACAGGTCCATTATTATTTAGCTAAAGTTAGTCTAGGTTAGGTCACATATGGTTTGGTTACGTAACTTAAGATGACAACGCCACTCATCTTTCTTGACATTCGGCAATGCGCAAGACACGCCTCAGTGTCATGTGTGACCTAAATAAACGTATGTGCTGCGTGACCTAAATAAATGTAATCATTTTCCTTCAATCTCCCAAAATAACAATTTGCACAAGAAATTATTACTTATTCCATGATATATATAGGCTAAGATAAGTAAGATAAGATTTCGTTCGGATTTTTAACCCCGGAGGGTTAGCCACCCAGGATAACCCAAGAAAGTCAGTGCGTCATCGAGGACTGTCTAACTTATTTCCATTGGGGTCCTTAATCTTGTCCCCCAGGATGCGACCCACACCAGTCGACTAACACCCAGGTACCTATTTGCTGCAAGGTGAACAGGACAACAGGTGTAAGGAAACGTGTCGAAATGTTTCCACCCGCCGGGAATCGAACCCGGGCCCTCCGTGTGTGAAGCGGGAGCTTTAGCCACCAGGCTAAAGAATTCCACCTAGCTATCGGTAATTATTACCAATAATAATACTACTAATACTACTACTACTATACTAATAATAATAATAGTATATTATTAATGCTTTATTACTATTATATTTTAAAATTACGCGCTAAGAACGCAAACAAAGATGAATCGAATTTGTTGTGCCGGAGTCAACATGCTTATCTTACTTCTTACTTTACAATGGATGCGTTATTTCTCAAAAAGACCAAATTACCATTTCATCCAAATTTTGCTATAACATCTATTTTAAATCGATAAGTAATTTGAAAAAAATTTTTTTTTACCTATAACAGGGACAGTGTTAACTAGGTCACCTGTACAGTAATGAGAATACGTAATACTATTCTTAATTCTCTCAACAATGCTATAGTTATAAATTATAATTAAAATGAAATGGTATTGTTTCATTGTTTCCTTCCATAAAACGAAAGACAGACGAAGAACAAGTTAAGGCCGAAACAAAAAGAAAATAACTAAAATTAACTTATCTTAGCCTGACAATCAGCTGAGCAGGATTTTACTAAGCCAATATATATTTTACTAGAAAACATGAAATGCAATTACAACTAAGGAAATGAGACAGCAGTGTTATTCATATATAGCTTATATGGGTTACTACTTACCGCAGAAATACCATAGTTCCTGCAAAAAGTCTTGAGAGCAGCGACAAGGTTGGTCCTGCAGACGAGGCTGGCCATGGTGGAGAGTCGTCTGCTAGACGCTTCTCCTCTGCTCATGGCGCCATACACCACATATTCAAACCTCTCACACTCCTCCAACTCTCATTTCCTTCACCATATCCAGAAAATAATGGTTAGCTCTAGCTTGGCGGGCAAGCGACATTCATGGACAAAGGAGTGGTGAAGAATCCTTCCATGTTCCAGCAACGTCACAACGACCGCTGACAAAATCCTACCTGGCCACATTCTTCTAGATAATTAGCTGTATAGTCCTTGTGGCTTAGCGCTTCTTTTTGATTATAATAATAATAATAATTCTAGATAATTAACACCCAAGGTATTTTTAGAACATTCTACATTATTACATCGAGCTTGAAAATGGAGGGATTTATAAATATACTGATAAATTCACCATCCATTAGCAGTTTCGAGAAATTTGTCGAAATTCGCTAGTGCATAGACATTATTTTAATGAGTACAACAATCCTGTAAAACGATTCCTTTAATAACTAAATCCTTAATTCCGCTTGGATTACGTTAATATAAGTTAAATCATCCTAACACGTTTCATTTAAAAAATATTAACATACAAGCGGAGCGAATATAATTAATTCGCAATTTTGGGGGTTTATATCATAAAGTTAAACAAAATATATAATTGTATCGTGGGACTATTCAAATGAAAATAAAATTTTTTTGCAATGTTAGAGAAAGAGCTAATTACCTAGTATAATATAACGTTATACTTATAACGTTATTCTGCCCATAATGCTCTGCATACAAGGGTCTTTGGCATGTTGCACTGTAATAACTGTTTTCCTTTGTACTTCACTGTATCATATTCAAATTAATTAATAAATACATGACAGTTTTCCTGACATGGCGTCACACGAAGCAGAAGGATATCCTGTCATTCCATCACAGGATGGTTTTCTAATTTCATATTTACACAGGATAATTTTACTTTCACTTGATTATACTAGATAATTGTCCTGTTATATTCCATCACGCAATATGATTTTCCTGTCATGATTCATCACACATGATGGTTTTGCTCTCGTACTCTATCGGACATCAACCAAATCTTTCAGTGGGCTGCAGAAAACAATATGAAGTTCAACGATGAGAAATTTCAATTACTCAGATATGGTAAACACGAGGAAATTAAATCTTCATCAGAGTACAAAACAAATTCTGGCCACAAAATAGAGCGAAACACCAACGTCAAAGACCTGGGAGTGATCATGTCGGAAGATCTCACCTTCAAGGACCATAACATTGTATCAATCGCATCTGCTAGAAAAATGACAGGATGGATAATGAGAACCTTCAAAACGAGGGATGCCAAGCCCATGATGACACTCTTCAGGTCGCTTGTTCTATCTAGGCTGGAATATTGCTGCACACTAACATCACCTTTCAAGGCAGGTGAAATTGCTGACCTAGAAAATGTACAGAGAACTTTCACGACGTGCATAACGGAGATAAAACACCTCAATTACTGGGAGCGCTTGAGGTTCCTGAACCTGTATTCCCTGGAACGCAGGCGGGGGAGATACATGATTATATACACCTGGAAAATCCTAGAGGGACTAGTACCGAACTTGCACACGAAAATCACTCACTACGAAAGCAAAAGACTTGGCAGACGATGCAACATCCCCCCAATGAAAAGCAGGGGTGTCACTAGCACGTTAAGAGACCATACAATAAGTGTCAGGGGCCCGAGACTGTTCAACTGCCTCCCATCATACATAAGGGGGATTACCAACAGACCCCTGGCAGTCTTCAAGCTGGCACTGGACAAGCACCTAAAGTCGGTTCCTGATCAGCCGGGCTGTGGCTCGTACGTTGGTTTGCGTGCAGCCAGCAGTAACAGCCTGGTTGATCAGGCTCTGATCCACCAGGAGGCCTGGTCACAGACCGGGCCGCGGGGGCGTTGACCCCCGGAACTCTCTCCAGGTAAACTCCAGGTATCATTCTTGACCTGTTTCATGCATAAGATAATGACATCTGTCAGCCTGAATTGAGAGGTATCGGGAGAACGATGAGGATATCGGTTAAATTAGGTTAATCAGGAAATATGACAAGCGTTTCCTGACGTGGGTCTTAGATGATGACCCGCCGTTGGAGCTTTTGGTCATCTGACCGAGGCCTTCCGCTGGCTTGCCGGTCCACCCCTTTAAAAATTATGATCATGGTTATGACCATTTCTTTAGTCTTTTGTTTATGGGGATACCGTGGGTTCGGTAGCTAAGGCAGCTGTAAAAAAAAAAAAAATCCTGCAGAGCGGGTGTCGCTTGACAACAGCGATGTGCTCTTCATTCAAGGAACTGGATTTACTCCCTTACCTTGGATCGATCATGATTGCCTTCCATTCCCCATTCAGTACAAAACCACTGCGAGTTTAATGCTTAGTAAGTACGTTTATTTAGGTACAGGTACACTTAAGTACTATTATCATACATTGTAACACATGTGTAAATTACCCAAAATAACCCCCAAAAAGCAGACATCGTGACTTATTATCATTGAGATCCTTGTGATATCTTATTTAAAGCCTAGCTCTAAGATAGAGTAGCAATCAGTTATGATTATAACTTTAACAATTAAAACGGCTAAGTGAATAAAGTGAACTGATTTCAATAAATTTCACAAGGGAGTTGTCATTTAGAACATTCATATATATTAGTTCACATTATAAGGACATCATGCAAAAGAATGGATACTTCAAGCAACTTACAAATATCACAGTTCACAAAAAATGTAACCACACTACTAAGTAACTTGATAATTATTACATGCATGGGGAACACTAAATCCGCAGGAATGAGAAGCATTCGGAGTCGATCCAAGGAAGGGAAGTACAGGTCCAATTCCTTAGAACAAGACCCCGTCACCGGCATCAAGGAACCTCTGAGGGGGAAGTAATTTGGTACGGGTAGACAGACATTACAAGAGACAAATTTATAATATAACACGTCAAAATTCAGTATAATAAAGCACTGACACAATAATGCAGTAATAACTCAAACGAACGACTAGCAGTGAGACTGAAAAAGATTACAACATTATTATTATTATTATTATTTTAAACAAACCGGATGTCTTCTTTCTTAAAAACTGAGATTACATTTGCTGTCTTCCACGTCTCCGGGAGTTGCTCTGTATCGATAGACTTGTTGAAGATTGAAGATTGTTGAAAGCGGCACACACACACTGCCTCTGCTCAAAACCATAAAACTATATCGGAATATAAAACAAATTCCATCCACACAATAAAGCGAAAAACTAATGTAAAAGACCTGGGAGTGATAATGTCAGAGGATCTCGCTTTCAAAGACCACAACATTGTATCAATCGCATCTGCTAGAAAAAAGGCAGGATGGATAATGAGAACCTTCAAAACCATGGATGCCAAAGCCCATGATGACACTCTTCAGGTCGCTTGTTCTATCTAGGCTGGAATATTGCTGCACACTAATAGCACCTTTTAAGGCAGGTGAAATTGCTGATCTAGAAAATGTATAGAGAACCTTCACGGCGCATATAACTTTGATAAACCACCTCAGTTACTGGGAATGCTTGAAGTTCCTAAACCTGTACTCCCTTGAACGCAAGAGGGAGAGCTACATGATTATATATATACACCTGGAAAATCCCAGAAGGACTAGTACGAAACTTGCACACGAAAATCACTCCGTATGAAAGCAATAGACTCGGCAGACGGTGCAACATCCCCCCAATAAAAAGCAGGGGTGCCACTAGCACGATAAGAGACAACACAGTAAGTGTCAGGGGCCCAAGACTGTTCAACTGGCTCCCAGCATACATAAAGGGGATTACCAATAGACCCCTGGCTGTCTTCAAGCAGGCACTGGACAGGCACCTAAAGTCAGTACCTGACCAGCCGGGCTGTGGTTCGTACGTTGGATTACGTACGGCCAGCAGTAACAGCCTGGTTGATCAGGCCCTGATCCACCATGAGGCCTGGGCACAGACCGGACCGCGGGGCGTTGACCCCTGGAACTCTCTCCAGGTATCCACGGAGAAATATCTGGTCTTCCCGCCTTCAAGGTATCTAGCTCATATAGCAGCTTCTTCACCTCTGCTCCGGTTTTGTGTATTGTGTCCAACAATTGTTAGTGTACTCTACCGCTTCGGTTTACTGGTAGCCTTTTTGTCTCCTCTGAGAATACCTCCCTAAATCTCATGCTGAGCTCTTAACAGACTTCCTGCTCCTTCTTCAGCCTCATTACTTGGTCTTTGACTGTTGTCTTCCTCTTGATGTGGCTATATAACAACTTTGGGTCGGATTTGGCTTTCCATGTTTCGTCATTCTCAGATTGCCATTGAGCCTCCATTCCTATTTATGCATACTCGCTTCTGGTTCTTCTGCTCATCTCCTTATTTTCCTGATTTTTTTGCCTTCTTTATTTTTTACCATGCTCTAGCACTCTTGGTTTCGGCCTCTCTGCATCTCTGAGTAAATCATAGGCTCACTCTGGTTTTCCCATTGTTTCTATTACTCCTCCTCCTCTCTGCACTTTCCAGCCACATAATCCATCATCTCATTCACTGTCTTTCCCTCCAGTTGTCTGTGCCACTGCATCTCATAAAGGAATTACCTCATGCCTGTGTAGCTCCCTCTTTTGAAATTTGGCGTCTAACCTCTTTCCCATGTTTCTTCACTCTCCACTGTATGTGTGTGTACTCATCTGTATGTGGTTGCAGGGGTCGATTCACAGCTCTTGTGTGTGTGTGTGTGTGTGTGTGTGTGTGTGTGTGTGTGTGTGTGTGTGTGTGTGTGTGTGTGTGTGTGTGTACTCACCTATTTGTGGTTGCAGGGGTCGAGTCTTAGCTCCTGGCCCCGCCTCTTCACCGGTTGCTACTGGGTCCTCTCTCTCCCCGTTCAATGAGCTTTATCAAACCTCGTCTTAAAACTATGTATGGTTCCTGCCTCCACTACATCACTTTCTAGGCTATTCCACTGCCAGACAACTCTATGACTGACGAAATACTTCCTAATATCTCTCTGACTCATCTGTATCTTCAACTTCCAATTGTGACCTTTTGTTTCTGTGTCCCCTCCCTGGAACATCCTGTCTTTGTCCACCTTGTCTATTCCGCGCAATATTTTACATGTCGTTATCATGTCTCCCCTGACCCTCCCGTCCTCTAGTGTCGTCAGGCCGATTGTGTGTGTGTGTGTGTGTGTGTGTGTGTACTCACCTATTTGTGGTTGCAGGGGTCGAGTCATAGCTCCTGGCCCCGCCTCTTCATTGCTCTATGAGCTTTATCAAACGTCGTCTTAAAACTATGTATGGTTCCCGCCTCCACTACGTCACTTTCTAGGCTATTCGACTGCCTGACAACTCTATGACTGAAGAAATACTTCCTAACATCCCTTTGATTCATCTGAGTCTTCAACTTCCAATTGTGACCTCTTGTTTCTGTGTCCCATCTCTAGAACATCCTTTGTCCACCTTGTCTATTCCGCGCAGTATTTTATATGTCGTTATCATGTCTCCCTGACCCTCCTGTCCTTCAGTGTCGTAAGGCCGATTTCCCTTAACCTTTCTTCGTAGGACAATCCCCTTAGCTCTGGGACTAGTCTTGTTGCAAACCTTTGCGCTTTCTCTAATTTCTTGACGTGCTTGACCGGGTGTGGATTCCAAACTGGTGCTGCATACTCCAGTATGGGCCTGACGTAAATGGTGTGCATAGTCTTGAACGATTCCTTACTGAGGTATCGGAACGTTATCCTTAGGTTTGCCAGACGCCCGTACACTGCAGCAGTTATCTGATTGACGTGCGCCTCAGGAGATGTGCTCGGTGTTATACTCACCCCAAGATCTTTTTCCTTGAGTGAGGGTTGAAGTCTTTGGCCACCTAGACTATACTGTGTCTGTGGTCTTCTTTGCCCTTCCCCAATCTTCATGACTTTGCATCTGTTGCATCTGGCAGGGTTAAATTCAAGGAGCCAGTTGCTGGACCAGGCTTGTAGCCTGTCCAGGTCTCTTTGTAGCCTTGCCTGATCCTCGACCGATTTGATTCTCCTCATTAACTTCACATCATCTGTAAACAAGGACACTTCTGAGTCTATCCCTTCCGTTATGTCATTCACATATACCAAAAACAGCACAGGTCCTAGGACTGACCCCTGTGGAACCCCACTTGTCACAGGCGCCCACTCTGACACCTCGTCACGTACCACGACTCGTTGTTGCCTCCTTGTCAGGTATTCTCTGATTCGTTGCAGTGCCTTTCCTGTTATGTGTGCCTGATCCTATAGCTTTTGCAGTAACCTCTTGTGAGGAACTGTGTCGAAGGCCTTCTTGCAGTCCAAGAAAATGCAGTCTATCCACCCCTCTCTCTCTTGTCTTACTTCTGTCACCTTGTCATAAAACTCAGTAGGTTTGTGACACAGGATTTTCCTTCCCTGAAACCGTGCTGGTTGTCAATTATACACTTGTCCCTTTCCAGGTGCTCCACCACTCTCCTCCTGATGATCTTCTCAATGACTTTGCATACTATACACATTAGTGACACAGGTCTGTAGTTTAATGCCTCATGTCTGTCTCCTTTTTTAAAAATTGGGACTACATTTGCCATCTTCCATACCTCAGAAAGTTGCCCAGTTTCAGTGGATGTGTTGAAGATCTTTGTTAGTGGCACACACAGCATCTCTGCTCCCTCTCTAAGGACCCATGGAGAGATGTTGTCTGGTCCCACCGCCTTTGAGGTGTCAAGTTCACATAGCAGCTTCTTCACCTCCTCCTTGGTTATGTGTACCCCATCCAGCACTTGTTGGTGTACCTCACTGTTCTGATTTCCTGGAGTCCTACCGGTTTCTACTGTAAATACTTCTTTAAATCTCATGTTAAGCTCCTCACATACCTCTCGGTCGTTTCTTGTGAACTCCCCATCATCCTTCCTCAGTCTGATTACCTTGTCCTTGACTGTTGTTTTCCTCCTGTTGTGGCTATACAACAGCTTCGGGTCAGACTTGACTTTCGATGCTATGTTATTTTCATATTGTCGTTGAGCCTCCCTTCTTATCTGTGCATATTCGTTTCTGGCTCTCCAGCTAATCTCTTTATTTTCCTGAGTCCTCTGTTTTCTATACCTTTTCCATTCTCTAGTACACCTAGTTTTTGCCTCCCTACACCTTTGGATGAACCAAGGACTCGTTCTGGTCTTCCCATTATTTCTGTTTCCCTGGGGAACAAACCTCTTCTCTGCCTCTTTGCATTTTGTTGTCACATAGTCCATCATTTCTTGTACTGGTTTTCCTGTCGGTTCTCTCTCCCACTGAATGTCTTGCAGGAAGTTCCTCATGCCTGAGTAGTCCCCCTTTTGTAGTTTAGTTTTTCCCATCCTATTCCTGCTACGGTGGCCTGGTGGCCTGGTGGCTAAAGCTCCCACTTCACACACGGAAGGCCCGGGTTCGATTCCCGGCGGGTGGAAACATTTCGACACGTTTCCTTACACCTGTTGTCCTGTTCACCTAGCAGCAAATAGGTACCTGGGTGTTAGTCGACTGGTGTGGGTCGCATCCTGGGGGACAAGATTAAGGACCCCAATGGAAATAAGTTAGACAGTCCTCGATGACGCACTGACTTTCTTGGGTTATCCTGGGTGGCTAACCCTCCAGGGTTAAAAATGCGAACGAAATCTTATCTTATCTTATCTTATCTCTCTCCACTTGTAGCTCAACTATGTAGTCAGAGCACAGAACCACATGATCACTAGCTCCTAGGGGCCTTTCATACATGATATCCTCGATATCCAAACTACTCAAGGTGAATACAAGGTCCCGGCATGTTCCTTAGTCTTGCTTTCTCCTGAAGGATCCTGTTCCCAGTCGATTCTGCCTTGAAAGTCACTTTCACTGGCCGGGTTCCTCTTCTTGCAAATCCCCCTATTCTCTGAAAATTTGCCAGCTGGGTCATGTCATCTTCTCCTATTGCTTTTATGATGCTTTCAATTGCATTTCCCCCCTTTGTTTTCTTGCTTCGTAAGTTTCCCCTTCAACATCCTGGAGCCCATAAACAAAGACTGACCTCTTCCTTTTGTTCTCCTACTGCATATCCCTATGTATCCACTAATTCGATTTAATTTCCTCCATTCCCGCTTTCCTTTCTTCAGTTTCACTATCTATTGTACTTAGGCTTAGTGGCCTGTCATTTTCCCTACTCAGCTTTCCTTGGGCTCTGCTGTGGTCTGTTAGGGCCTCCACATATAGCTTAGCTCTTTCATTTACTACAGTCCCCTTTGATAGGGCTTCTACATGCAGTTTCGCTCCTTCGTTCCCTACAGTCCCCTTGTTTGTGACTGAGGTAGCGGTCTCTGATGTCATTCCCAAATTGTTCTTTAGTTCTTTAGGCTGTTTCAGATTTTTTAGTTCCTCTTCTAATTTCTGTATCCTAGCCTCTGCTGCTATGACTTGCATCTCCCACTTCTTGCTTTCCACATCTATCCTCTCTTCCATTCTCATGCTAAGTTCTTCTAGTTTCTTTCCCCATTCATGTTACCTTTTCATGAGCTCTGCTGCCTAATCTTCCTTTGCAGATTCGTCCTCCTGTCCCTTGGTTTTCCTTCCTGCTCTCTGGCAACCCATTTTTTTTTTTGTTTTGGTTGCCTCAGAATGAAAAACTTAAGTAATTCTGTGTGTTTGTTTTGTGGTGTGTTTGTCCGAGCGTGGGGGGGGGGGAGGCAGCGGAGGAAGCTGTAGACAGTGGGTAAATGAGAGAGGGTTGGGGAGGGGGATTGAGGGAGGAATATGGGGAGTGAGGAGGAGGGAGAAGCAAAGGGGAGAATGGGAGAGGGAGAGGGGGAAAGAGGGAGAGGTGGGGGAGAAGGAGGGTGAGAGAGAGAGGGGGGGATCAGGGGAAGGAGTGAGAGATTGGTGGGGGAGGGGGCAGGGGGGGAGTGTATGTGTGAGTCTGTATATGTGGGAACGTGTGGGTGCAAACGTGTATGTGTGTGTGTGTGTACTCACCTAGTTGAGGTTGCAGAGGTCGAGTCCAAGCTCCTTGTTGTGTGTGTGTGGTGTGTGTGTGTGTGTGTGTGTGTGTGTGTGTGTGTGTGTGTGTGTGGTGTGTGTGTGTGTGTGTGTGTGTGTGTGGGTATGTGTGTGGTGTGTGTGTGTGTGTGTGTGTGTGTGTGTGTGTGTGTGTGTGTGTGTGTGTGTGTGTGTGTGTGTGTGTGTGGGGTGTGGGTGGGTGGGTGTGCGTGTGCGCATTAAGTAGTGGCATGAGTGAACTTATCAGAAAGAAGCTGTGTCGAGATCTGAACACTTGTGTTGTGGTAACTGTTACGTGACTTACAAAACTTCCCAGTGAGTGAGTACGTCTACTTGTCTTACTGTACTTGAATGGATCGAGCTTCAGCTCCTGGCACCTACTTATAACTTACATTAAATTAACCGTAGAAGAAAGGAAGACTTTTCGGGTTATTAACTCAGGAAGGTTAACCCAGGACAACCTAAAAACCTTATGCAGTGTATTTATTTTTAGTATGGTCCGTATGTCCTCGCCCAGGATGCGACTCACAGAAGTCGATCAAATCCTTACGACTCACAACAATCAACCAAATCCTATGAAAAATGTGAACTTTATCAGTAAAGTACAAGTTCCCTTAATTCCCATTTGTCAGCCTCTGTATGTAATATCAAAGAGCATTCAGTATTTTCGGATCTAGGATTGTTGTAAAGTTAGGAGGCCACAGTACAGCACTGAATATACTCAGGGTGTTAGCGAATTTCTTAGATAAACAATTATTAAAGTACAGCAAAAGGGAGAGCTGATGTTGTAATGAAGGGTTCACATTTAACTGGCTCAAGACATGTCCGAGATGACATCAGCAACCTTGTTATTCTCTCTTATGCAGCTTATGACGCTGCGATAGTGCACTTGCCAGATAAAAGGGAAAATCTTGAACAACATCAGTTCAAGTACTCGACAATAATTCTTGTTCCATAAATTTAAGTACTATAGTTTGTATATATTAGAGGGGAATAACTGCCAAATGTACAATTAGTATTTAGGGTCATTAAAACCTTAGCTAACTGATTTTGACCACATGCATTCTGCAAGGTGATTGGTGATTGCCTATAAATATCAGGGACTACCTGAAATCTAACTTCCTTCACTAATCCATAAATTTGTAAAAGATCGTTTATGACTTCGAAAATTGGTCATAAATTTATTGCAATATCATTGGAGCAGAGTCATGGACACGCTAATCAAAGTATCAAATAATACGCTAGCGTTGTGAGACTTATCCAAAATCCATAGGAATTATAGAGGTAGATAGTAATGAGGCCGAAATTTGCAGCTATTTCAAAGTTTGATCCCAAGTGTATACACTAGTCAGAGAGGAATTTCCAAAATATCATGAACATTCTCTAGCAAAGCAAACTGTCAAGGATATTTACCTGGAGTTTACCTGGAGAGAGTTCCGGGGGTCAACGCCCCCGCGGCCCGGTCTGTGACCAGGCCTCCTGGTGGATCAGAGCCTGATCAACCAGGCTGTTACTGCTGGCTGCACGCAAACCAACGTACGAGCCACAGCCCGGCTGGTCAGGAACTGACTTTAGGTGCTTGTCCAGTGCCAGCTTGAAGACTGCCAGGGGTCTGTTGGTAATCCCCCTTATGTATGATGGGAGGCAGTTGAACAGTCTCGGGCCCCTGACACTTATTGTATGGTCTCTTAACGTGCTAGTGAGAGACCATACAATAAGTGTCAGGGGCCCGAGACTGTTCAACTGCCTCCCATCATACATAAGGGGGTTTACCAACAGACCCCTGGCAGTCTTCAAGCTGGCACTGGACAAGCACCTAAAGTCAGTTCCTGACCAGCCGGGCTGTGGCTCGTACGTTGGTTTGCGTGCAGCCAGCAGTATCAGGCTCTGATCCACCAGGAGGCCTGGTCACAGACCGGGCCGCGGGGGCGTTGACCCCCGGAACTCTCTCCAGGTAAACTCCAGGTAAATATCCTTGACAGTTTGCTTTGCTAGAGAATGTTCATGATATTACTTCACTTGTCACTATCAAAGATAACACTTAAACCCATTTCGTGAAGACAGTAGTCAGCTAATAACACTTGATGCAGGTATTATTATGGTGAATCATACTCTGCAAATCCATTTGCTGAAAAGAAATTTCTACGAAATCTTAACAAACCAGTCAGTAAATTACAATAATAATTAAAAGAACTCTTCCTTACTCTTCAGGCCACGTTTATATAAGACACAATTCATATCAGTTTCACCTGTTCTCACTCAGTGCGGTGTGATGTATTTGCAAGAATATGTATATTCTGCTTTACTTAAGTTACAATCTAAAGACTGCGGGAAACTTCTGATTATGAAAAAAAATTGCTTGTCCAATACACTTAATCACTGAACTAATTAATCCAGAGGATGGACATTGTATGTGATCTCTGTCAACTTTTATCTAACCAGATGATAGAAACATTTAATACTGGTGATAAGATAACAGTGATTACCATGTATTTATTATTATTATTATTATTCTTATTATTATTATTATTATTATTATTATTATTATTATTATTATTATATTATTATTATTATTATTATTATTATTATTATTATTATTATTATTACATGTAAAATGCTAATCTTGTGTAAATCATTCACTAATATGAGTGCTGGAGACTCGATCCTCCGTTCCCTAAGCACTTGAAAGACCGCTTCTAAATGCACTGACTAGTTACTTACCGTGGATGAGCCTGTTTTGATGAATGTGTCTCTAACAGACACAAATATTTTACCCATTATGTGTTGTGCTAATAATTATGAGTATCCAGGTGTGCATCTGTACTGTACTCACAGTGTGCTCGCTCATATATAACTTCTTGTTTACTCCAAAATGATTTTTGATGAACTCTGTGTAGCTTATGCAAACAAAAAAAAGCACTTAAATTACATTAATACCCACACAATTATTGAATTATAACCTTGGATCAATAATTTCAGAAGCTCTGCAGATCTGTCCGTTATGTTATGATTAGATTTGTAGTATCAAACTGCAGTTTACATGTAATAAAGTATTGTTAAGCACATAGAAAACCATTAGCATGCATGAGCATTTCGGGTCTTCTCTCACCGAGGGTGACCCGAAAAAGAAGAAACACTTTCATCATCACTCACTGTATCACTGTCTTGCCAGAGGCGTGCTGACATAACATCTAAGATGCCCCTCCAAACATGACTTTCATGCACATGTAAATAATAATATAATAATAATATCTTTATTTACTACAAGTATATGTACAAGGTATACAGTCCTAGCTGACATCAATGACATACTACTATATAGAAAGCCGCTTGTTATGCAGAGCATTTCGGGCAAATTAGATCAGTTTTGTCTCCAGGATGCGACCACACCAGTCCACTAACACCCAGGTACCTATTTTACTGATGGGTGAACATAGACAACCTGTGTAAGGAAACACGTCCAATGTTTCTACCTTCGCAATATGAAGCGAGAGCTTCAGCCACCAGGCCACGGGGCATAATTCATTACTATTGCAACTTGCTTACCTATCAGAACTTTGGGATCCAGTTCCTGGGCCCATTTATGTGCCTGTGTAATTTTTTGACTGCTGCACACATGATGGGCATGTGCATTATAAAGATATTAAACTAAATTAACAAAAAATACACAAATGCAGAATTGTTCTTGATAGGAAACTTGCACGCAAGACTAAGTGCCAGCTCCTGTGAAGGAACTTCCTTCCACCATCAGCAGAATGTACTAGAGAGAGTGTAAGAGTCTTAAGTTGTTTACGTGACCAGGACAGAGTGGTCCAGGGAGTCTTATGTAATGGTTACTCCCCTTTAGGCTCTCAGGGACGGGGAGGTTAGTTTAGTTTAATATGTTTATAATGCACCCATACCCATCCTGTGGGCGGTAGTCAAAAGATTACAGAGGTACATAATGGGTCCAGGGACTGGGCCCCAAGTTTTGATAGCTGAGCAACGGGGAAGGGGAGAGTTACTAGCGCTGGGGATGCCCTGAGCCATGTTTCTTGCCTTGCTGCCCTGCTAAGATCCACTTATTAGCTTATTATATGCACTGCAAAGATGAGAGGAGACCGAGTTGTTTACTAGGCCTCAGAGCATTGATGAGAATTATGAATGTGAGGGTGACACAGCCATATTGAGAGTGATCATGTAATCTTCTTGCTTTTACCAGTGACAACTGGCAACGAAAGCAAAAGACTCGGCAGACGATGCAACATCCCCCCAATAAAAAGCAGTGGTGTCACTAGCACGTTAAGAGACAATACAATAAGTGTCAGGGGCCCGAGACTGTTCAACTGCCTCCCAACATACATAAGGGGGATTACCAATAGACCCCTGGCTGTCTTCAAGCAGGCACTGGACAAGCGCCTAAAGTCGGTACCTGACCAGCCGGGCTGTGGCTCGTACGTTGGATTGCGTGCAACCAGCAGTAACAGCCTGGTTGATCAGGCTCTGATCCACCAGGAGGCCTGGTCACAGGCCGGGCCGCAGGGGCGTTGACCCCCGGAACTCTCTCCAGGTAAACTGCAGGTACTCCAGGCAATAATCCCAAGGTAACAAGCTCAAGGTTTAAAATGCCCCGGGGCAGTTAGTTTTATTTTGAGCGAGTTAGTACACATCAAAATATGTTTACTCCGTGACGTGAGCACCATGGATTATTATTATTATTATTATTATTATTATTATTATTATTATTATTATTATTATAATCAAGGGGGAAGCGCTAAACCCGGAGGATTATACAGCGCCTAGGGGGGGGGGATGTGGAAGGCATTCAGGCTTAATTCGGGGAACTGGAGCACAGATCCAATTCCCTAAATCAAGAGCCCCTCACCAACAGGGGTGAGCACCATGGAGCTAGATTAGGAAGACGCCGGCACGTCCAATTAACTTGTGTTCCAGTCGGCTGTTCTAGAATATGAGCTGGATAGTATTAAACTCATTTAAGGCTTGTTAGTGTTTTTCCTGAATTTAAGCCAGGAGTCGCACCTTCTGCATGGGCTCTTGACATCAAGAGTGTTAAGTATAACGAATCAGGGATGTTCACATGTAACTACAGTTCTTACAGTAAACAGGACTTAACTGCTAATTAACCACTCGTCCAGGAGGAACAACCATAGGGACCATTGTCCACGCGACCTCATCTGGTATACTTATTACCTGGGGTTCTGATATGGTCTTCATTTTCTCCCTTAAGCAGACTGCACATTAGAAGGCATGTGCAAGGCAAGGTAGGGACTTAATGAAGATAAAGTTGTGTCCGAGTAAGGGCTCAGGTCATTATTTCAAGGTCGTATCTGTGTGTCATATCCACGTGCTGTGTATCGCTCCTTTCATGTCGCACTTATACCCAGAGAGCAAGTGTAAGTTTCTTTAGGTACAGGTACACGTAAGTACAGTTATCATACATAGTGTAAATTACCTAGGATAATCCCCCCAAAAAAGTCAGTGATTTATTCCCATTGGGGTCCTTGTTTACCTGGAGTTTACCTGGAGAGAGTTCCGGGGGTCAACGCCCCCGCGGCCCGGTCTGTGACCAGGCCTTATGGTGGATCAGAGCCTGATCAACCAGGCTGTTGCTGCTGGCTGCACGCAAACCAACGTACGAGCCACAGCCCGGCTGATCCGGAACTGACTTTAGGTGCTTGTCCAGTGCCAGCTTGAAGACTGCCAGGGGTCTGTTGGTAATCCCCCTTATGTGTGCTGGGAGGCAGTTGAACAGTCTCGGGCCCCTGACACCTATTGTATGGTCTCTTAACGTGCTAGTGACACCCCTGCTTTTCATTGGGGGGATGGAACATTTATCCTGGTAATGGATCCAGGAGCCAGGTGTCATCAGGAGCTCATTCAGGTGTTAGTGTCCAGTGTAAGTGTTGTATTATAGCCTGTGTCGAAGAAATATTTGCTTTATAGTTCAGAGGAGTGAAGTGGTTGGCATTCACTGGATGAAAAACTGATATTCTGAGTACAGGAGCCAGGCACCAGGAACCAGGCCGTGGCCCGTAGCCTGGTGGCAAAAATTCTCGCTTCACACGATGAAGGTCCGGGTTCGATTCCGGCACAGGGTGAAACCACTGGGAGTGTTTCCTTACACCGGTTGTCCATGTTCACCCATCAGTAATAAGGGGTACCTGGGTGTTAGTGGACTGGTGGGTCGCATCCTGGGAAAAAACTGACCTAATTTGCCCGAAACGCTCTGCATAACAAACGGCTTTCTATATAGTAGTATATCAGTTAGGCCTGAACACCTTGTATATGTACTTGTAGAAATAAAGATATTATTATTATTATTACTATTATTATTATTATTATTATGAATCATATTAAGTATTGTGAGGATAGTATAGAACAAGATGTTTTATATGGAGAGTGCGATTTTAAATGTCCGGAGGAGGGATACCTCAGTAAATTAATTTTTTTTTATAGCTTAGATTTCATTGTAATCTTGCTGCAAAAGATGACTCCATTTATGTGAATGTTCCACAGACTTTGTAATGTGATATTTTTAGTATTCCTGATAGTATGTATGTGCATTGTGGTGTTAATCCTGGTAATTAATAGTTTTTAACCACCGCCAGATAACTATTGCACTTCCATTATTGCCGACATCATCCCTCCATCATGCACTTCGAGGACTTGCTGTCGGAGATCGGATCCTTTGGACTATACCAGCGTCTCCTGTGTTTCTTGCTCATCCCACTCACAACAGGCATCGTCGGTCTAACCTTCTACGTGCAGCTCTTCCTGCTGGCGGTGCCGCCACACACATGCCGTCAAGTGCCACCTCCCCTACCTTACCCCACCTCCGATGTCCTCTTCCACGACCTCTCGAAGCTACTCAATGATACTACTCATGTGAGGTTTATTATTATTATTATTATTATTATTATTATTATTATTATTATTATTATTATTATTATTATTATTTTTTATTATTATTATTTTAGTGGTAGTAGTAGTAGTAGTAGCAATGTGAAACTTTGAACCTCTGATACGAAATGTCACCATATCAAAAACAATATACTCAGATCACAACATAATTGAGGTTCAGACATGTATGGGCGGAGCCCCAGACCGACATAATGAGATTAGTCACGAGGGAGCATTCACCAAATTCAACTTCAATAACAAAAACATAAAGTGGGACCAAGTAAACCAAGTCCTAACCGATATAAGCTGGGAAGATATACTAAGCAACACAGACCCCAACTTATGCCTAGAACAGATTAACTTGGTGGCACTCGATGTATGCACAAGGCTTATTCCTCTAAGAAAAAGGAAAAGTAGATGTAAAATAGAAAGAGACAGGCGCTCCCTTTACAGGCGACGGAAAAGAATAACAGAGCGGCTAAAAGAGGTCAATATATCTGAAATGCGTAGGGAGACACTGGTCAGAGAAATAGCAAGCATCGAACTTAAGCTAAAGGAATCTTATAGGAGTCAGGAATCGCGGGAAGAACTAAAAGCCATAAATGAAATCGAAAGAAACCCAAAGTATTTCTTCTCCTATGTCAAATCAAAGTCGAGAACAACGTCCAGTATTGGGCCCCTACTTAAACAAGATGGGTCCTACACAGATGACAGCAAGGAAATGAGTGAACTACTCAAGTCCCAATATGACTCAGTTTTTAGCAAACCGCTAACCAGACCGAGAGTCGAAGATCAAAATGATTTTTTTATGAGAGAGCCACAGAATTTGGTTAACACAAGTCTATCTGATGTTATCCTGACGCCAAATGACTTCGAACAGGCGATAAATGACATGCCCATGCACTCTGCCCCAGGGCCAGACTCATGGAACTCCGTGTTCATCAAGAACTGCAAGAAGCCCCTATCACGAGCCTTTACCATCCTATGGAGAGGGAGCATGGACACGGGGGTCGTCCCACATTTACTAAAAACAACAGACATAGCCCCACTCCACAAAGGGGGCAGTAAAGCAACAGCAAAGAACTACAGACTGATAGCACTAACATCCCATATCATAAAAATCTTTGAAATGGTCCTAAGAAGCAAGATCACCACCCATCTAGAAACTTATCAGTTACACAACCCAGGGCAACATGGGTTTAGAACAGGTCGCTCCTGTCTGTCTCAACTATTGGATCACTACGACAAGGTCCTAGATGCACTAGAAGACAAAAAGAATGCAGATGTAGTATATATCAGACTTCGCAAAAGCCTTCGACAAGTGTGACCATGGCGTAATAGCGCACAAAATGCGTGCTAAAGGAATAACAGGAAAAGTCGGTCGATGAATCTATAATTTCCTCACTAACAGAGCACAGAGAGTAGTAGTCAACAGAGTAAAGTCCGAGGCAGCTACGGTGAAAAGCTCTGTTCCACAAGGCACAGTACTCGCTCCCATCTTGTTCCTCATCCTCATATCTGACATAGACAAAGATGTCAGCCACAACACCGTGTCTTCCTTTGCAGATGACACCCGAATCTGCATGACAGTGTCTTTCTTCCATTGCAGACACTGCAAGGCTCCAGGCGGACATCAACCAAATCTTTCAGTGGGCTGCAGAAAACAATATGAAGTTCAACGATGAGAAATTTCAATTACTCAGATATGGTAAACACGAGGAAATTAAAACTTCATCAGAGTACAAAACAAATTCTGGCCACAAAATAGAGCGAAACACCAACGTCAAAGACCTGGGAGTGATCATGTCGGAGGATCTCACCTTCAAGGACCATAACATTGTATCAATCGCATCTGCTAGAAAAATGACAGGATGGATAATGAGAACCTTCAAAACTAGGGATGCCAAGCCCATGATGACACTCTTCAGGTCACTTGTTCTATCTAGGCTGGAATATTGCTGCACACTAACAGCACCTTTCAAGGCAGGTGAAATTGCTGACCTAGAAAATGTACAGAGAACCTTCACGGCGTGCATAACGGAGATAAAACACCTCAATTACTGGGAGCGCTTGAGGTTCCGAAAACTGTATTCCCTGGAACGCAGGCGGGAGAGATACATGATTATATACACCTGGAAAATCCTAGAGGGACTAGTACCGAACTTGCACACGAAAATCACTCACTACGAAAGCAAAAGACTTGGCAGACAATGCAACATCCCCCCAATGAAAAGCAGGGGTGCCACTAGCACGTTAAGAGACCATACAATAAGTGTCAGGGGCCCGAGACTGTTCAACTGCCTCCCAGCATACATAAGGGGGATTACCAACAGACCCCTGGCAGTCTTCAAGCTGGCACTGGACAAGCACCTAAAGTCGGTTCCTGACCAGCCGGGCTGTGGCTCGTACGTTGGTTTGCGTGCAGCCAGCAGCAACAGCCTGGTTGATCAGGCTCTGATCCACCAGGAGGCCTGGTCACAGACCGGGCCGCGGGGGCGTTGACCCCCGGAACTCTCTCCAGGTAAACTCCAGGTAATCAATTAATGGTGAGAAAGACACTACCTAACTGTATTCATCTAGTTCTGTAGAGTAACGGGGAGAGGATGGGATGAAGGGGGCGTCATAAAGGAGAGAAGAAAAAGGGAAAGAGAAAAGAAGGGAAGAGGCTAATATGCAATTATGCATGATGACGAGGTTCGCTGGTAATGTCCCGGCCCGACTCTTGTTCAGTTAGCGAATATGTAGGTAAGAGAAAGAGGAAAGCTGGAGAGTTGTTACAATTGTGGGATGAGGAGGTGGGCTGAGATGAAGAGAGAGGAGAGGACAACAACTGTACTGAAAGGAAGGGCAGTTATCTGCCCGTTAACCCAATGGAAATAAGTCACTCTGTCTGACCTTTTTGGGTTATCCTAGGTTCTCTACACATATGCTGCTATGTATGATAATTCTATGTAACTGTATTTGTGTATACCTGAATAAATTTACTTACTTACTTACCTTATTCACCTAAATGTGTATGCCATAGCTTGTGTGAATCATTCATGTTGTATATCAACTATACTTTGCTAAAATATAAGGTGATATAAATAATTTAGAACATGTAGGCTACAGTAATGTTTCTGTGACGGAATTCATGTCTGCATAAATAACTCATTACAACTGTGACCAGATATAAACAAGTAAATAGTTCATTACCACTGTAACTTGATTAGTTATAAAAATTTTGGGGCCCAGTCCCTGGACCCATTATGTGTCTGTAATATTTTGACTACCACCCACAGAATGGGTATGGGATGCATACTACAACTATTATGCTATGCCCACTACAGGACGATCCAGTAAAGCTGCCTTATACCTGTCATCAATTTGACCCCAACGTGACCTCAGCTTACCTGGTTTCCCATGAAGTCATCAATGTTACCTCGTTGGAGCAGCTGCCGAAGCCTGGTCTGGACTGTGTTAGCGGCTGGCAGTATGACACTTATCACATGTTCTCCACCTATACTTCAGAGGTCAGTGCATCACATGATATAACAAACTAACATCAGTTATATCACGTCAGCACAGGTTGTATCAGATCAGTAAATTCTATATCAGGCTGGAAAAACTTGTATCAGATCCTAACCAGCCTGATAAGAAGGGGTAAAAAATTGTATTATGAGAACAGATTATTCAACTTAAAAGGTGATATAAAAAAAGACCTGGAAAACCCTATCAGAAATTCTAGGAACAAAAAAGATATCACGAAATAGCGCAATTGAACTAACAAAACCAGATGAACCCCAACTCCCACCAACTGAAACAGCAAACAGACTCAATGATTTCTTCTCCACCATAGGAAAAAACCTTGCCAATAAAATCCCAAGCTCAAATACCCCACCCAATGGCTACCTCACTGGCAACTACCCGAACACACTGTTCCTAGCTCCGACTAACCCAACGAAGTCTCCCTTATTATCAACACACTAAAAAACAAGACAGGAGATTTAAATACCTTACCACCCTTTATATACAAAAAAGCATCGCAAGTGCTATCACCAATCATTGCAACACTAACAAATCCATCGAATCCTCTACCTTCCCTACAGTTCTCAAAATAGCGAGGGTCACCCTGTCAATTTGGATTCAGGCCTAATAAAAATACGAATGATGCTATTATACACATGCCAGAACAAATATACACTGCACTAGAGAAAAAAGAAGTCCCACTGGGATCCTCATTGATTTACGTAAAGCTTTTGATACAATTGACCATGATTTGCGCCACATAAAATTGTCGCACTATGGTATAAGAGGGCACTCCCTCAACTACCTAAAGTCATACCTCAGCAACAGAAGCCAATATGTGTACACAAATGGAGCAAACTCTTCCGCACAGCCAATTACAGTTGGTGTCCCACAGGGAAGTGTCCTTGGCCCTCTTCTCTTTCTCGTTTACATAAATGACCTACCAAATGCATCGCAACTACTCAAACCCACACTATTTGCAGATGACACTACATACGTCTTCTCTCACCTGAGCCCAGTCATGCTAGCCAGTACTGTGAATACCGAATTACAGAAAATATCTACCTGGATGAGTACTAACAAACTTACTCTAAACATTGACAAAACCTACTTCATTCAGTTTGGTAACAGAGCTACAGATGTCCCTCTTAACATAATGATAAACGGATCACCTATCACAAAGCTCACAGAGGGAAAATTCTTAAGAATCCACCTTGATGATAGACTCAAATTTCAAACACATGTACAACAAATTTCCAAGAAAATTTCAAAGACCGTAGGCATACTATCGAAGATACGGTACTATGTTCCACAGTTAGCCTTCCTGGCCCTATATCACTCACTTATTTACCCCTATCTCACCTATGGAATTTGTGCATGGGGCTCAACAACAATAAACCATCTCAGACCATTAATTACCCAACAAAAGGCTGCAGTCAGAATGATAACAAATTCCCACTACAGGCAGCACACTCCACCAATATTCAAAACTCTAAACTACTCACCATACAAATCATCCATACTTATTATTGTACCTGCTACATACACAGAACACTTAACTCGGATATAAACCCTCCCCTAAAACGTCTCCTTACCAACCTCAACAGAACACATGACCATAACACAAGGCACAGATCACTCTTTGATGTTCCTCGTGTCCACCTCACGCTATGCAAAAACTCAATATACATAAAAGGCCCAAAAATCTGGAATTCATTACCTGTGAATATAAAAGAAACACTGTTTATAAATTCAAGTCTCTTCTTAAAAATCACTTACTCACCCTTAACTAAATAAATACTGAATAATTGTATCTCATAAATGTTTACCCTGTGACCCAATCAAACTTTATTATTTTTAATTACATTACCTAACAGAATACTCCATTCTACTGAATGCACAGCAACATAGTAAATGACGTATGATCTGTCTTTGAAATACTCATTTGTGCGTAATTGTTATTTGTTTATAATAATGTTTACCACTGAATATATCATTGATTAGTTAATCTTAAGTTAATTTTAAGCCTGCCCATAATGCTCTGCATACAAGGGGCTTTGGCATGTTACACTCAACCGCTGTATTTTCTTGTACTTCTATGTATTACGTTCAAATAAATAAATAAATAAATAAGCATAGGCTACATTATTGTTGCCAGATAATGACAGAAACAAAATCTTCCGCAGCACGATTGGGTGTGCAGCCAGGCCTGGCGACCGTATGTGGTGGTGACTTTATTTTGGATTGGCAATACCGTCGGCTCCTGGCTTTGGGGAATCATATCTGATACGTAAGTCTTCCCTCTCATAGTCAGCAACCTCATGGAAGAAGTCTTCGTGCCGGCGAGGAGTTTTAGTTCTCCCCTTTCCCTTGAATATAACAATAACAAAAGTCAGTAGAAGTCACTAGTTAATTCATAAATATCTGGGTCATCACAGCCAGTGGTGGGTCCATAAATATATGAGTCGCCATAACCAGTGGTAGATCGATGATATATCCAAAGGTGATGTGGCTTAGAACCAACTTTCAATCACCTGTTTACCGGCAGGTGTAAATTAAAAAAAACATGTTTAGTGCACCTGTGGGATTTGAATTTGTGACATATTATTATTATAATCAAGGGGGAAGCGCTAAACCCGGAGGATTATACAGCGCCTGGGGGGGGGATGTGGAAGGAATTCAGGCTTAATTCGGGGAACTGGAGCACAGATCCAATTCCCTAAATCAAGAGCCCCTCCCCAACATCAAGGAACCTTCCTTGAGGGGAATTTGTGACATAATTGTTTCCAGGTAAAAATATCCAGAACCAGCAAACCACACCTGGTTCTGAGCTTAACAAGGATCATCACAATTCACAGAATTAATGATTATAGTAGCTATAAAATGCTAATGCTAAACCCGTAATGAGTTATATAGCACTACATTGTGTGACCTCTATGAATCAGAAAACGTTTAACTCAGCACTTTTGTCACTCGTGATGCGAGAATGGGTTGTATTTTATACCTCTATTTTTTTTGAGCACCTCATCTGATGAACCCGGGATGAGTGGAAACATTGAGCATGTTTATTTACACCTGTCGCCTCTGTTCACCCAGCAATAAATGGGTATTAGTATGGTAGAAGATTGACGCTGGTCGTATTATGGGGAGGAGGATCAACGGATCTCAGAAAAAAAATAAGACATTGGTATCTTTCTTGGGTTATCCTGGGTTATTAACCCTCTAGATTAATAATCTGAATAAAATTTTCTTGCCCCCAGGATAGGTATGGGTTATATAATAGTTCTCCTGTTCTCAGGTACGGACGGCGGCCGACGGTGGTGGCGAGTCTGGCTGTGTATGGAGTGGCAGGGTTGACCTCCATCTTCATCAGTAACTTCTACTGGTTTACAGTGCTGAGGTTCCTCGTGGGGACCTCGCACCACACTGTCTCACACCTCCCATTCGTCCTGGGTGAGCTATGAACCTCTCCACTAGTTTGTTGATGTAAAATGTGTTTGTTGATGTAAAGTTCTCCTTCAAGATTATTGCACAAGCCAGTTTCTTCTGGCCTGGTGGCTAAAGCTCCCGCTTCACACACGGAGGGCCCGGGTTCGATTCCCGGCGGGTGGAAACATTTCGACACGTTTCCTTACACCTGTTGTCCTGTTCACCTAGCAGCAAATAGGTACCTGGGTGTTAGTCGACTGGTGTGGGTCGCATCCTGGGGGACAAGATTAAGGACCCCAATGGAAATAAGTTAGACAGTCCTCGATGACGCACTGACTTTCTTGGGTTATCCTGGGTGGCTAACCCTCCGGGGTTAAAAATCCGAACGAAATCTTATCTTATCTTATCTTATCTTCTGTACAAACACTTCACTTAAAATTCCTTGAGAAAAACACAAGTCCACACAACATCCCTATTTAAGCTATATAGCCCTATGTATTTATATATTAATGGACTACTAGTAACGGGTGGAAAAAACATTAGGACGTTTCCATAAGACACCAGCTGTCCATGTTCACTCATCAGTAAAATGGGTACCTGGGTGTTAGTCGACTGGTGTGGGTCGCATCCTGGGACAAAACTAACCTAATTTGCCCGAAATGCTCTGCATAACAAGTGGCTTTCTATATAGTAATGTCATTGTTGTCAGCTAGGCCTGTATACCTTGTACATGTACTTGTAGAAATAATAATAATAATAATTATTATTATTATTATTATTATAGTGTTAGTTGTATTAACTTGGTGATTAACAGCTATCCAGTATACTCCGAGCTAGAGTATATAAGCTGATGCTATTCGGAAAAATTTATGCTATGACTATTGACTATTGCCGGATGGGTATGGGGTGCATAATAAACATATTAAACTAAACTATTGCCAGCGGTCACCAGTTCATTCAACACGCAAGTCATACTTTTACTAGTAAACTTTTTACATCGATAAAACCACCCTTACCGTGGATACCTTACATATAACCAAGTAACATCTAAAAACCTATGGCAGAACACCTCCTCAGGACCAGATCAGCCGATCGACAGCTCCAGCAAGCTCCTTGCAACCAACCTGAACAACTTGCCTCCTGTGCAAAAAAAAGGCAATAACAAAACTACCTACTGCCAATTCGCTGTCGTGCACGTATGCAACTTGTATACATGTGTGCGTCTGATGGGTGGTGTGCTATACCTCATATGAATGTCATGAATAAGACGACTCACGAAATCGTAATGACACGATTGCAAACAAACCATACTATGGGTGGGGTTAGAACCCGCGATCAGAGTCACAAAACTCCAGACCGACGCGTTAGCCACTGGGCCAGCTAGCCATAATAAGATTCACCCAGCTAGGTATAACACAACACGCACATATATTAATGTGTGCCTAAGTCGTTAGGCCACTAACCTTTATTGCCCCCTCCTCCTCCATCCTTACTTATCCTTCCTCCCCCAACTTACCTAACCTCAGGTTAAAGAACCTCGAGCCTCAGCGTTCCAGAATTCGAAATTAAAAACTTGTCAGCTGATGGTAGCTACCAGACTCACTAGCAGAAATTTTTGTTTTTCTTTCCTATTAATTTTCACTTATTGAACTTGAAGATTATATACCACTTGTTAGGCTTGAATTTCTATGAAAAGTCTTTCTTTACATCCACCTTTCCATAAAGGCTGCCCTAAAGACTGTTTAGTTTTCAACTTTGATTTTATGCTTGTTTACTGCCACTTTTCTGCTTCCATTATAATCTTAACTTATTTATATACATCGTTGTAGCTCCTCTCCTGTTGAAAAATTCGTTTCACAAAGAATGATAAAAAAAATAATAAGGTTGCTCAAAACCAACTTATCTTGGGGTCCTTCTCTCTTATCTTATCTTATCTTCATCTGCATCAAGATATCCCCTTGGAAGGTTTATATTCTTGAGTGTTTGTTAACTGTAATATACTTTATTAAATTCACTGAAGTGTGTTTGGCTACTGGTACAGTGGTAGAGTACTGTGGTCTGGAGAGTCGTGTGGTGCCTCTTCTCACACTGATGATAAGTTACACCGTCGCCTCCATCCTCACTCCCGTCCTCGCCTACGTCGTCTGGGACTGGTTCACTCTCGCTCTAATTACTGCAGTGCCTCCCCTCCTCCTGCTCCTAGCCTTCAGGTAAGATGTGGTAGATTACGGGGCATTTTTCAAACCTTGTCATGTCCTACACGTCTGTAGTGTAGATCCACTAGGAATTTTTATTGACCTAAGAAAAGCTTTTGACACAGTAGACCACGGCATCCTACTCCACAAACTTGACCATTATGGTATAAGAGGCCATGCGCTTGCATATTTCAAATCTTACCTTACTAATAGGTATCAGTATGTCACCATTAAAGACACAGCATCAACAACACAGCCACTTGATACTGGAGTTCCGCAGGGAAGTGTCCTTGGTCCCCTGCTCTTCCTCATATACATCAATGATCTTCCAAACGTATCTCGACACCTGAACCCCATTCTCTTTGCTGACGACACGACTTATGTCATCTCTCACCCTAATCTTGCAACCCTCAACACCATTGTTAATGAGGAGCTGATCAAAATATCGACTTGGATGACAGCCAATAAACTTACGCTTAACGTTGACAAAACCTACTACATTATGTTTGGTAGCAGAGCAGGAGATGCGCAAATTAACATTAAGATCGACAACACTCTAATTACCAGGCATAATGAGGGCAAATTCCTAGGCCTATACCTCGACAACAACCTGAACTTCAGCACCCATATCCAACACATAACCAAAAAAGTATCCAAAACGGTTGGGATCCTCTCCAAGATACGATACTACGTGCCGCAAACTGCCCTTCTCACACTATACCACTCACTTATGTATCCATACCTCACCTATGCTATCTGTACTTGGGGTTCAACTGCAGCAACACACCTAAAGCCAATAATAACCCAACAAAAAGCCGCAGTAAGAATAATCACTAAATCCCATCCCTGGCAACACACCCCCCCCACTCTTCATAGATCTAAACTTACTCCCTGTTCAGTACATCCACACTTACTACTGTGCAATCTACATCTACAGGACCTTAAATTCCAATATTAACCTTGACCTAAAATGCTTTCTTGATAGTTGTGACAGAACCCACAGGCACAACACCAGACACAAACATCTCCATGACATTCCCCGTGTCCGACTAAACCTTTACAAAAATTCAATGTATGTCAAAGGCCCTAAAATCTGGAACACCCTACCTGAAAATTCCAAAACTGCAGACACATTCATCACCTTCAAAACTACCATCAGAAAACATCTTATTTTCCTGATACACCCTGTCAACTAATAATACGAATACCACCTGGTGGTTCACACTTACACTCACTCAACCGTTTGACCATAAACAGAAATATCAATCTCAATCTCAAAATAATGAATCTTAACTAGTCAAAAGTTGGCCTGTGATACTCCAATACTGAAACTATGTATAGTGCCAAAACAAAAGCATTCACATTGCTAAACTCACAACTAGTATTTAGTCACTTAGCCATAATACCAACTTATCTCATAACTCTAACATTTTAAACCTAAGATTTAATATAAGTCTGCCCGAAATGCCTAGCCATGCTAGGCGTTCTAGTGGTACACTCTGTAATTATTATTTTACTACATGTAAACCACACAATAACCAAATTCTGTAAACTCAGCATTGTAATACTTATAGAGAATAAAGTTTGAATTGAATTGAATTGAATTATGTCTTTGTATTGAACTGACTGTCATCCACTAGTTGGGTATAAGATTAATAATGTAGCTATCAAACTAAACTAAAACTCACTAGCTAAACAGCCCAGTAGGCAGATTTTGATCTTGTAATTTTTACACGTGGGTTTCAATTTTTTATTTGTATTTTTAGGTATCTCCGAAGGGGGATTTTTGTTTACCTGATTTTTTCCTTCCTTTAACATTTCGTTCTTAATACCATAAGGTTTTATTCAATCGTCTTCAAATTTCAACGCTGGTGTAGAGTAACTAAGGCAAGACTAATACAAATTAATGCAACTATTGGCATGCACAGATGCCTTTTGACCAGTGGCGTGCAGAGGTATGCCCCAAAACTCAAGTATAAGGCCTAGTACTAAGAAATATGAGAAAGGGTGTACAGTAACTAAGGCAAGACTAACGCAAATTAATGCAACCATTGGCATGTACAGGTGCCTTTTGCCTTACTCCATCCTGGAATCAGTCCAATAACTTTCAAAAGCGTCTTCTACTTGGCTTCAAACGTTCAAAACGTAGAGTGAAAATAAAGCAGGTAGGTGCACATATGTCAATTTTACGTGTAAAAGAATGTGGAATTTTTATTCCTTTTACATTACATTAAGTAATTTTGAGTCTTCATCATATGAATGGCTTCAGTATTTAATGGCTGATGCATCTTACAAACAAAATAGTACTCATTAAGTTTATATTATATGCCATAAAATTTGTCAGTATGCTAAATTAGTTAAAAAAAATTGGAAGCGTAAAACTCCGTGGGATAGCTGGAAAATGTTAATTCTGTTCGACTTCAAATTTGTGTTGTTAATAGGCTGCATTAGTCCCAATCTGCCAATTGTATTAAATAAATAGTGACACTGATTTCCATTCAATTACTAAAGAATGTCTCGTCTGACGAGCTTCAAAATACTGAAGTCGCACTCTGCGTTAGTCATATCACCCAAGAGACTGTATGTATAAACAATCAATTAGTTATTGCCTTATTAATCATAATATAGGCTTAAGTTTGCCCGAAATGCTCTGCATACTAAGAGGCTTTCTGCATACACACCTAAATGTCATTCACCCTTGTACTAACGTTGTATCATGCTGAAATAAAAAACCTTTAATCTTTAACACTTTTCTTGGATTGTGGAGCTGCCGAAATACACCTAGGTAGTTAAGCACTAAACCTGTATGTTTCATTTAGCACAAGGACTGGTAGAGGCTCGATCCTCTGATGTAGTCGCTGACCAATCAGGCTGTTGGTGATCGTACTAAATTGTCCAGTTGGTTCTCTTCTTAATGCTTCAGGTTGATACCAGAGTCCTCTTCGTGGCTCATAGCTCGAGGTCATGGTGAAGCGGCCAAGATCCAGCTGGCTAGGGTAGCCGAGGTGAATGGACACCATTTACCTCTGGAGATGATCACCCAGCTGCTTTCTGACGCAGGTGGTACCGGAGGAGGTGAGTCCGGCGACCAGGGGCGAAATGAGGCAGTGCAAGATGAGAGCAATGAATCAAGTATCATTCAAGCCGTCAAATACCCAAAGCTGCGGAAGAATATTGTTCTGGTGTTGTTGATATGGTGAGGTCACAAGGACGATATGTTTATAATCTATGACAGTTCTCGGTTATCTCACTGGGAGAGACATGTTTTCTCTTTATATTTTAATGTGTGACTTGTTAATGGTCATAGGTTTCAGTCTCCTAAGTACGGGTTATTTGTATGGTGTAGGATTTAGGAAAGAGTTAATAGTAACATTGGCGGATTAACTAGTTGAGCTAATATATTGGGTACTGTCTATGGTCGTAGGTTCACTCGGAAAATGAGTGATACTGCCCAGTAAAATCGTTCATTAGAGCAAAATCTAAAAACTCCACTGCTGTAAGATGTGTGAGTGCGCTCGTGTGTGTGTCTGTGTGCGCTCGTGTGTGCTCGAGCTCGTGTGTACTCACCTATTTGTACTCACCTATTTGTGGTTGCAGGGATCGAGTCTTAGCTCCTGGCCCCGCCTCTTCACCGGTTGCTACTGGGTGCTCTCTCTCCCTGCTCCATGAGCTTTATCAAACCTCGTCTTAAAACTATGTATGGTTCCCGCCTCCACTGCGTCACTTTCTAGGCTATTCCACTGCCTAACAACTATGACTGAAGCAATACTTCCTAACATTCCTTTGACTCATCTGAGTCTTCAACTTCCAATTGTGACCTCTTGTTTCTGTGTCCTCTCCCTGGAACATCCTGTCTTTGTCCACCTTGTCTATTCCGCGCAGTATTTTATATGTCGTTATCATGTCTCCCCTGACCCTCCTGTCCTCCCGTGTCGTCAGGCCGATTTCCCTTAACCTTTCTTCATAGGACATTCCCCTTAGCTCTGGAACTAACCTTGTCGCAAACCTTTGCACTTTCTCTAATTTCTTGACGTACTTGATCAAGTGCGGGTTCCAAATAGGTGCTGCACACTTCAGTATGCAGCACCTGTTTGGAACCCACACAGTGTACAGTATCTTGAACGATTCCTTACTAAGGTATCGGAACACTATTCTCAGGTTTTCCAGGCGCCCATATGCTGCAGCAGTTATCTGGTTGATGTGCGCTTCCGGAGACATGCTCGGTGTTATACTCACCCCAAGATCTTTCTCCTTGAGCGAGGTTTGCAGTCTTTGGCCACCTAGCCTATACTCTGTCTGCGGTCTTCTGTGTCCTTCCACGATCTTCATGACTTTGCATTTGGCGGGGTTAAATTCGAGAAGCCAGTTGCTGGACCAGGTGTCCAGTCTGTCCAGGTCTCTTTGAAGTCCTGCCTGATCCTCATCTGATTTAATTCTCCTCATTAACTTCACATCATCTGCGAACAGGGACACTTCTGAGTCTAACCCTTCCATCATGTTCACATATACCAAAAAATAGCACTGGTCCTAGGACCGACCCCTGTGCCCACTGTGATACCTCATCACGTACCATGACTCGTTGTTGCCTCCCTGTAAGGTATTCTCTGATCCATTGCAGTGCCCTTCCTGTTATATGCGCCTGATCCTCCAGCTTCTGAACTAATCTCTTGTGAGGAACTGTGTCAAAGGCCTTCTTGCAGTCCAAGAAGATGCAATCAACCCACCCCTCTGTGTGTGTGTGTGTGTGTGTGTGTGTGTGTGCGAGCTCGTGTGTGTGTACTCACCTAATTGTGGTTGCAGAGGTCGAGATTCAGCTCCTGGCCCCTGCCTCTTCATTGAACTCTCCTACTGTGTGTGTGTGTGTGTACTCACCTATTTGTGGTTGCAGGGGTCGATTCATAGCTCCTGGCCCCGCCTCTTCACTGTGTGTGTATATATGTGTGTGACCCAGTTAATATTTGCACTAATAGCTGATTACAGTTGTGACCGGGTCTGGACGTGTGAATTGCTCATTACTTTATAATTTGTTCATGATTGTAACCATGTATAGACCTGTAGATGATTCATTACCTTTGTAACTTGTGAGTTCATTACCTTTGTACCTTATTCAGCTATCAGAACTTGGGGGTCCAGTCCCTGGACCCATTATGTACCTCTGTAATCTTTGGACTACCGCCCACAGGATGGGTATGGGGTGTATAATAATGATATTAAACTATAACTGTAAGATTAGAGAATGCCAAGAGAAAAATCTGAATTTAATCATATAAGACTGATACTTGTTAGATTTTATTGGCAGCCAATCATTAAGCCACTAATTTCTTCGTGATGTATTGAATTGAACGATACATTCGAAGTTCTGGTGGTTAAAATTGAAGATCCAAATATAGTTATTGTACTCGTATACACCACCAGATGCAACTTCCCAGCAATTCAAAGATCATCTGATGTAAACCTAGCCCGGCAGGTGGAGGTGGCTATTTTACTTCCTAACTAATGGAATCCAAAGAATAATAGTAAACAGTAAAATCAGGGATACCTCCGCCGTATTACTAACCATTCTGGAAAAATACCCTGACTTTGCTTATTGTAAATAACTCATAACCTCTTAAACTTGTTTAAATGCAACTATACCTTGCAAAAATATCAATAAATATAAATAATTCAGAATCATATAGAAGCTACATTGTAGTATTTTTTTGTGACTGAATTCGTGTTTGCATAAATAACGATTGTAAGTAGATATAAGTATATAAATAATTCTTTACTACTGTAACTTGCTAAGCTATCAAAATTTTGCGGCCCAGTCCCTCGACCCATTATGTGTCTCGGTAATCTTTTGACTACCGTCTACAGAATAGGTATGGAGTGCATAATAAAGATAATAATTAAACTAACGTTTTCTCCCCCTGACTTCCTTCACGACACCATTTCATTCATCTTCCCTTCACCAGTTCACTATTTTCATCTCTAGTTCATCTTATGGACGCTGTTATAATCCTTACGACTTTAAGGGTTTCCTGACGAATATACTAATAACAATAATAATCCAGGTTGTATTCTCTCCACTCCTTTAAATCACCCAATAGGATGCTGGGCTGCATGTGTTACTACGGCCACTGTCAGAATACAGCACATCTGGGCAGCAACTTGTTCATGAGCTACCTGCTGGGGGCGCTGGTGGAGGTGCCATCGTGGTGTGTCCCCTGGCTTATCCACCGTCTGGGACGCCGACGGCCTCTCAGCACCACCTTCCTCCTCTCCAGTGTCGCTGGCATTCTTTACGCCCTGGTCCCTGCAGGTACGTCCAGCTATAATCATATTTATATGGAAGCACTAAACCAGTACGGATCATATAGCGCCTGGAGAATGGAAGGCAGTCAGATATAATCCATGCAAATGGAGTGTAGCGTCAATTTCCTGGGCAAAGATCCCTTCATTGGTGTCAGAGTACCTCTCTTGAATGGTTGTACTTCATACATTATCAAAAGAATTAGACCTATGCTCGTTCTCTGGATCGACCATGGCTGCCTTCCATTTTCCCAGGCGCTGTATAATCCCTATGGATTTAGCGTTCTTCCTTCAAGAATGTAATAATAATAATACAGATTGTGTTCCGTGATCCTAAAGACACTCCAGGGATCCACCAGTGATATGTTCCGTGTTCCGTTTGATTGAAAGTGTGTTGCATTCTTCCAGGTGCTTACCCTTTCTTATGATTGTTTGAGAAATCATTTGTCGTGGCTGCAGAAAGTGAGTGGTTGGTGCTGGCGGCGGCTCTGGTGGGGAGAGCTACCATTACTGGTGCCTACTACATCAGCCTGCAGTACTGCCCTGAGGTCTTCCCCACCGTGGTTAGAGGTCAGGGAGTTGCCCTGGCAGAAACCTTGGGAGGTGTCGCCATCTTCCTCTCACCCTCCATTGTTTACCTGGTACGGTCCGTAGCTTTTACCTGATACAGGCCTCACAAGTGGAATACCCTAGGTCCTCTCTTCATCTAAATCCGGCACTGGTACTGAGTGTGGTGTTACAGGGAGAGTGGCAGAGAAAGGCGCCGTTGCTGGTGTTCGCAGGATTGTCAGGAATGGGCGGGGTGGCAACTCTGCTGCTGCCGGAGACAGGTGGTGTGGTGCTGCCGCAGACCCTGCAGCAGGCAGAGCTCTTCTTCAGACAGGCTCACCCACCATGCTGCAGGTAAAGGTTCTGAGCTATTACATAAAAACCAATAAAGCAAAGTATTGTAATATGGTGTCCCGTGGCCTGGTAGTCAACGCTCTCACCTCACAGTGTCCGTGGTTCGATCCCCGGCAGGGTTGAAACATTGGGCATGTTTCCTTACACCTGCTGTCCCTGGTCACCTAGCAGTAAGTAGGTACCTGGGTGTTAGCCGACTGGTGTGGGTCGCATTCTGAGGGACAAGATTGAAGGACGTCAATGGAAATAAGACAGTCCTCGATGACGTACTGACTTTCTTAGGTTATCCTGGGTGGCTAACACTCCGGGGTTAAAAATCCTAACAAAATCTTATATTGCTTCCATTTGGGACAGTAACTTAAGCTGGCCAGACGTCCTGCTATAGGCAGGCAGTCCTGTTATTGAACTCTGTCCTCCGTCTCTCCGCCACCTCAAGCGCGACGTTAATTTGACAACACTACACGCGTAGCCGTAGTGTACGTATACGAGACGAGTCAAGATCTCAATCAAGTACACATCGGAGTCTGAGACAGTCTGCTGAAGGCTGCAGTGGGGGATGCTTGAGTTTATTGTTTGCTTTAATTAAACCCCTAAAGAAATACCAAAAAGAAAGACTACATTTAACCATGAATGGGCCTAAGCATTTGGATTTATTGCTAAAAGCAGAACAGGCGACTTTCATGCATTGTGTATACAATTTATTTATTTATTTATTTATTTAAAAATTTGAGCACACATACAGAGGTACAACAAATACAGGTAAGAGCAGTATGCCAAAGCCACTTATACTATGCATAGCATTACGAGCTGGCTTAAAATTAACTTAAGATTAACTAAGCAATGATGAAATCAGTGATAAAACATTAATGTAAACAGGTTACTATAGAGCACAAGTGAGTATTACAAAGACAGGTCATATGGTTGTATGCATTGTTGTACATTCAGTAGAATGGAGTATTCTGTTAGGTAGTGTATTTAAAAAATAATAAAGTTAGATTGGGTTTTAGGTTTAACATTTATGTGATATAATTGTGAGAAACATTTAAGATATACAATTTATAAGGTTCAGTTATTCAGTATTTATTTGGTTTTGGGTGAGTAAGTGATCTTTGAAAAGAGACTTGAATTTATAAACAGGTAGTGTTTCTTTTATATTACAGGTAATGAATTCCAGATTTTAGGGCCTTTTATGTGCATTGAGTTTTTACATAGTGTGAGATGGACACGAGGAACATCAAAGAGTGATCTGTGCCTTGTGTTATGGTCATGTGTTCTGTTGAGGTTGGCAAGGAGATATTTGAGGGGAGGTTAATATCAGAGTTAAGTGTTCTATGTATGTAATAGGTGCAGTAGTAAGTATGGTGTTTTGTATGGTGAGGAGGTTTAGTGTATTGAATATTGGGGGAGTGTGCTGCCTATAGTGAGAATTTGTTATCATTCTAACTGCAGCCTTTGTTGGGTAATTAGTGGTCTGAGATGGTTACTTGTTGTTGAGCCCCATGCACAAATTCCATAGGTGAGATAGGGGTAAATAAGAGAGTGATATAGGGCCAGGAGGGCTGACTGTGGAGCATAGTACCGTATCTTCGATAGTATGCCTACAGTCTTGGAAATTTTCTTAGAAATTTGTTGTATATGTGTATGAAATTTGAGTCTATTATCAAGGTGGATTCCTAAGAATTTTCCCTCTGTTAGCTTTGTGATAGGTGATCCGTTTATCATTATGATAAGAGGGACATCTGTAGCTCTGTTACCAACTGAATGAAGTAGGTTTTGTCAATGTTTAGTGTAAGTTTGTTAGTTCTCATCCAGGTAGATATTTTCTGTAATTCGGTATTTACAGTATTGGCTAGCGTGACTGGGCTCGGGTGGGAGAAGACGTATGTAGTGTCATCTGCAAATAGTGTGGGTTTGAGTAATTGCGAAGCATTTGGTAGGTCATTTATGTATAGGAGAAAGAGAAGAGGGCCAAGGACACTTCCCTGTGGGACACCAACTGTAATTGGTTGTGCAGAGGAGTTTGCCCCATTTGCATACACATATTGGCTTCTGTTGCTGAGGTATGACTTGAGGTAGTTGAGGGAGTGCCCTCTTATACCATAGTGTGACAATTTTACGTGGAGCAAGTCATGGTCAACTGTATCAAAAGCTTTACGTAAGTCAATGAAGATCCCCAGTGGGACTTCTTTTTTCTCTATTGCAGTGTATATATGTTCTAGCATGTGTATAATAGCATCATTAGTATTTTTATTAGGCCTGAATCCAAATTGGCAGGGGTTGAGTATGTTTGGGAGATAAGGTAGGAGTAGATTCGTTTATGAATTAATTTTTCGAAGATTTTTGAGAGAGGGTGTAAGTTGGATATTGGCCTATAGTTATTCAACTCTGTTTGGTCTCCTCCTTTGTGGATCGGGGTGACCCTTGCTATTTTGAGTACTGTAGGGAAGGTGGAGGATTCAATGGATTTGTTAAAGAGTGTTGCAATGATTGGTGATAGCACTTGTGACACTTTTTTGTATATAAAGGGTGGTAAGGTATTTAAATCTCCTGCCTTGTTTTTTAGTGTGTTGATAATAAGGGAGACTTCGTATGGGTTAGTCGGAGCTAGGAACAGTGTGTTCGGGTAGTTGCCGGTGAGGTAGTCATTTGGTGGGGTATCTGAGCTTGGGATTTTATTGGCAAGGTTTTGTCCTATAGTGGAGAAGAAATCATTGAGTCTGTTTGCTGTTTCTGTTGGTGGGAGTTGGGGTTCATCTGATTTTGCTAATTTTATTTCGCTATTTCGTGATATCTTTTTTGTTCCTAGAATTTCTGATAGGGTTTTCCAGGTCTTTTTTATATCACCTCGTAAGTTGGATAATCTGTTCTCATAATACAATTTTTTTGCCCTTCTTATCAGGCTGGTTAGGATTGACGAGTAACGTTTTGTTTGGTCTCTGGTTATGTGACCCATTCTGTACTGTTTTTCATATTGGTGTTTTGTATTTATGGATTTGAGAATGCTGGGTGTTAGCCAGGGACTGTTCAGTCTCTTAGCTGTCATCTGTTTAGTTTTTTTAGGGCAGTGCTTGTTATAGAGGTATTGGGTCTTTTTTAGAAAATTATTAATACATTCGTCAATATCTGTATAGATTTCTAGCTCAGTGTGCCAGTCAATGTTTGCTACTGCTGTTGTGAAGTTATTAATGGCTGCCTCATTGTGAAGTCTGAAGGTGACTTTAGTAGTGTCTTGGGGTAATTTACCAAGAGTTGTTATGAGGAAAGTCGGGTAGTGGTCTGTGGTATTATCTGTAATTATGCCTGATTTTAAAGGGAATATGGTGTTGGTCCAGATGTGGTCAAGTAGGGAAACACTAGTCTCTGTAACTCTTGTAGGTTTTGTTACTGTTGGTAGTAACATACAGTTACTCATTGTGTTTGTGAATTCAGTAACGTGTGGGTCCTGGTCTTGCAGGAGATTTATGAAGTCACCTGAGAGTAGTAAGTGATCTTTGTTCATGCGTGCATCAGTTATCATACTTCCTAGGTTTTGACTAAATTGGCTAATGTTTGACTGTGGAACTCTGTAGATGTTTATCAATGTGAGAGGTTTTTGTAGGTATTTGGATTTGAATTTGGCTATTATATATTCCCCATGTTCATCCCTTGTGCAAGTATTAGTGATACATTCTAGTTGGTCTGCCGTTGTGATGTGGATATTAGCGGCACGGGAGAAAACGCAGCTGAATGGCAGTTGCCACACAGATATACATAAATACACAAATAACCCGCACATAAAAGAGAGAAGCTTACGACGACGTTTCGGTCCGACTTGGACCATTTACAAAGTCACACATTTACAAAATCGGACCGAAACGTCGTCGTAACCTTCTCTCTTTTATGTGCGGGTTATTTTTTGTATCGTTCCAGTCACGGTATTGTGCCTTTTCTTGTTAGATATACATAAAGTTAACACTCGTAGTACCGTTACTTCACTTCATTTATCTCCCCAGCTCGATAATCTCAAGATAACGAACCCCTTAAGATAAGTTCCTTGACGCTGGTGAGGGGCTCTTGATCTAGGGAAGTAGATCTGTACGCCAGTTCCCTAAATTAAGCCCGAATACCTTCCATTTTCCCCACAGGCGCTGTATAATCCTACGGGTTTAGCGCTTCCCCATGAGTATAATGATGAAGATGGGTGTTGAGCTGTGTAAAGTGTATCATGCTGTGAAGCATCATCAGTCATACAGAAGTGTTGGTTGTGGAGTAAAAGTTGACAAATATACAGTGACTCGTTGAAAGTGAGGATTGTAGTTTGCCCGTTTCAATACCAACTAATGCCCCTCAGCAGCAATGCCCACGCAACGAGTTTTTTCAATAATGACCTTGTCTTGGAGACACGAGAGAAACCGTCTGCCAGTTGGACTCAAAGCAGAGCTCCAAACCTGTAATAACTCAGACGAGTGCCCAGCCATGTACAGAAAATTCGTGGTTAGGAGAAAACTCTTGAAAATTGCAAATAAAGAGTAGAAACAAAAAAAAATATAGACATCCTTTAGTCTGTAAAGTAAATTAATTTGGTTAACATATGCTGATCCAACAAAAATAATAATGAATATTCATTTCTTCCAGCTCGTTATTTTTACTGTATGAATGCATGTATGTAATATATATAGTGCATTTTAAAAATCATTTCAGAAAAATTCCCACAAATTAGCATTCATCACATTACTGTGATGTTTGACAAATAAATAATTCTCCTCAGTATATTTTCTACAACTTTTTATCTATTTCAGCTCAGTATAAAACATGTTTGATTTAGGGTAAATTTCCAGGCTGAAGACTAGTAATATATATTAATTATATCACGAAACAAGTGATTTTCAATCATTAGCAGAACTGTGGCTGGCCAGGATTCGATCCTGCATTCCCATGCCCAGCTCTGTGAAAACAGGATACAGTACACATCCCTCTATCCACTGGACCACAAATTCTCGCAATTTGTAGTCCAGTGGATA